CAAACCGGAATGGAATCACATTTTTTTTTTTTGTTTAATGATTCATTTTGGTCACATGCTTTCCTTGAATCCCAAAGCTAGAAAGAAAAGGACAGAAGGGGGTTAAAATGGACCGAAATAGGCAAAGGCGTGTCTGAGAGATGGCTACGGGGGGGCCGTTGGGAGACGCAAGGAAGGATGCCAAAAGCTGCCTGACTTCCTGAGAAATGAGGCTGAGTTCCCTATGATTATCTTAGATGTATGTAGCAGTTATGGTTTTTTTTTCCCAGAATGCATTTCGTTGCTTGATGCATGCTAAAAGTGATTGCGCGGCACTATACAAAAGCTTTGAGTGGCTGTTTCTCCCTCCAATGGAATGGCAGTTTCGTCAACGACAGGAATGCCCTCACAGGCAAAGTCGCACATGGCGATCGGGTGATCGATCTCACGCCGTCAGTGGAGCAAGCGGCATCTCGATGCGCCGCGGCGCCTCGGTGTGCCGCTTCGCTTTGTCTTCATTTGCACCTCCGCGCTCGCGCTCGTAGCGAACGGAAGGAAAGAGATTTCGGGGGCCGCCCCGTTCACCTTCACTGTTTCATTCTCGTCCGGGCGTCTTTACTGCCTTCAAGACGGGCTGTCTATAGATGATTTATGTTTCTCTGTTCTTTTATTTTTAGCCCAATTACTACATTTCGCTCGTTCTCTCTGTCTCCTCTGCTCACTTCTCAATATTGTCCTCCCTTTGAACGCCTTTGCTTGTATTTACAGGCACTTTTGAAATGTTTATTTTACTTTTTTTTTTTTTTTTTGCCCCCTTCCCCTCTCTCTTTCTCTCTGAAAGCGAGCAGGTCAGGTTGAATAAAGCTCACTTCTGCGGATGTGGGACCGTATTTGTCCCTGTTGTGCATCGTCGCTCCAGGCGCCCGAACCCAGAACAGGAAAAAGCAAAGCACACGAAGACGGTGAATTATACTGAATAATTAATCACAGACAATAAAAGCTTAATGGTAATGCATTTACCGTCTGTTTGCTCGGCGTGGTTGGCGGGGAGGGGCGGAGCTTTGGATGTACTGTAAGCGGGTGATTGGTTCGAAAGTGACGTGGATTAATAAATGAAGAACATGCGAAGAGACGCAAAAAAAGTGCTCGAATGTGTCTCAAGTTTAGTCTATTTTTTTTTCTCATATAAAAATAGAGAAGCGAGATTTCGATTGCGTACATTCTCAGTTGAAACTAGTGCCTGCTAAACGCGTAGTCGTACTTCGCAGCGGTGTCGTGACATCTTTTGCACCACTTCGGTTTACGTGACGTTTGATGTGTGCGCCACCTGTTCCTGTCGCAACTAATCAACAGAGCTCACGAACAAACCCGACTCGGGTCATTCGACAACGCCAAGTCTTTCCAATCAGTGCGAGTGTGATCTATGAAGGGTCAAAGGTCAAGAGTGGTCGTCGCCTACACAGATAACAGCACAGAAAGTCTTAATCTTTAAGGCAAGATAATCCTTTTCGGAGTGTCAGTCTGTTCGTCGAATTGGGGGCAAATGCGCTATGCTAGCATGTTCGACGACACACCTTTGAAGAATGATATTTTTCTCTTATATTTCATTTGTGGTTTATTTTTACTTACTGTATGTTTACTTTAGTTCAAAATTTTTATTTATATTTTAATTTTTTATGTGGGCAATTGGATTAAAAGTAACAAGTGGACTGACGCTGCACCGTAGAATTCTGTAAAATACTTATTTTATTTGTATGTTTTTTTTTTAATTTAAAACTTTTGTAATTTTTAATCCATGTTTTAAATTCACTTCACACTCATTTAATTTCATTTTATATTTATATTTTGAGTGGATTGACTTTTTGGACGTATTTGAAATTCTTTTCAAATTTCTAATAATTTTTTTCTTTATGTTACAACTTTTAAAAATGTGTATTTTTTTATTCTTAATATATCTTAATATATTTTTTTTTTATATTCTTTTTCTGCTCAATTGGATTAAAAGCAACAAGTGGATTGACATTAAAAAAACTTTTTTTTCTATATTTCTATTTTATTCCATTTAAAAAAAAGTTTTTCATTATTTTATTTTATTCATGATTCATTATGTATTTATTTTATTCTTTTGACACTATTCCGTCTTCTTTGCGATTTCAGTTTATGTCCTTTTAGGTTAGACCAGTTTTGTGCTCATTATTCAGCCCCCACGTTTCCGTTTCTGAGTAATGCTGGACACACACACACACACACACACACACACACGCACACACACACACACACACACGCATGCAAAATGCCCACAACAGAAGAAGCGGGCTGTGAGAGGAAAGTAGCAATTAGGACCATGTGATGAAGGTTATTCTCAGTCCAGTTTCTGATCAGTGTCATCCGTGCACGCCGAGGCGCAACTGCCGCCGCTGCGGCTGCAGCCCGCAGTTTCCATGGCAACGTGGGAACCCATCTTGGTCTCTATGGTAACTTGTGGTTGGCACCCAGGAAGAAAGATTGAGCGAGAGAGTGGGAGTGAAAACGAGGAAGAAGGAAAGAAAGAGATGAGGTGGGAACACTGGAAAAAAAAAATGATGACCAAGAAAAAAAAACAACAACAACAACAGGGGACGAAAAGTCCTTCTATGTAAGGAGTAATGAGAAAACTTCAGGGATGACAACCCGATGGGCAAAAAGTCGACACAAGTGCACACCACACTAAACCGTCAGACATCTGCGGCTTCGAAAATGCTTCACCCCGAGATGCGCAGGCAGAAGGTCAAGGCGAATGGAAACGCGGTCCGTCGTGCGCTACAATGTCGATGCTGTAATCCGATTGGCCGCGCTGATGGATTGGCGCTTGCGTTGACCTATTGCGTCGAAGCGAATTATTGTGGCGACGTGCTCACCTTTTCGCCGTGCCTGCTTTCCTCTTGCGCTCTTCCATCCATCCATCCATCCATCCATGCATTCATCCTCTTTTACCCTCTCATTCCTTTCCTGCCACTAACCAGATTAGTTGCCCACGCCCCCCCCCCCCAATTGGTTTTGCCCTTTGCGAGGCCGCAGAACGGAAGGAGTGTGTGTGCGCGTGTGTGTGAGATCTGCTGTTCCTACCACATGTTTTTCTCCCTTTTTTTTTTTTTTTTTTTTTTTAAGAGATCCACTCCGGCCGCCTGTCGCTGTCAGACACACAACGCGTGTTTATGCGCGTTGTGTAATTAATTAGACTGCTCGCTGTGTGACGGAGAGCGATGAATATAAAAACTCTCAATTATTGAAGCCCCCTGCAAGTGACACACGTTTAAAAAAAAATAATAATAAAAAAACTAAGAGAAATAAAGGCGTTTCATGTAAAGCCGTTCACCTGAATAATGACGCCAATGCAAATCAGACATTTTTAAAAAAATGAGATGGACCAGCTCCGCTGAGGCTTAGATCTCTAATTGCCTCTCAAGGATGCTGTCTTTCAAATGGGGCGCACACACACACACTTCATAATAATCATCACATAATCTGTGCCAATCAAATTACCCGATGGCGAGTGCACAATTGATTTGGGCCTATCGGGTACCGTAAGTTGACTTTTCCAGTGTCAGGCAATGAAATCTTTGTCATTTCTCTGGGACAGATCATCAATGCGCTTGTAAAAATCTCTTCATTGTACTGAACAGTAGAAAAATTAAAAAAAATAAGTCAACACACTTTTTTTAGTTGGCGGTTTTTGCCATTTAATTAAAGTGAGACCAAAATGAGTCATTCTACAACTTTTTTTTTTGTAAAAGGGGGGACGTGAACTAAAGCAATTTGCTTGCGCAAGGGTGCACACCCTCAGGATGTGCTCAGAATGAACCGGTCTCATTCCAACTCATGTTAAAATGGAGTCAGCACAAAGCAAACACCAAGGGCATCTGAATGACCCCGAATAAAGTTCAGGTGTTCTAGTAGGCTTTTCTGGAGTTTTTTTTTTTTTTTTTCCTTTTCACTGCAGCCTTGAAGGCTTCATGCTATTGTTATGTGTTGATGATGCTGCCACCGCCATGCTTCAGTCGGGTTATTTAAATTTTTAAATTTAAATTTTTTTTCAATTGGAAAAAAAATGATCTTAAATTGTATAAAAATAACGCGCCGTTTAAACAAGGGGTGTGTAGACTTTTTTATGGAGTGACAAACCTGCATGTATCAAAGAACAAAACGCGTCGTGCCGTGCAAATCTCAAGAGGTTTGCGTCGCAATATCCGTGCGCATATTTGTGCACTTTGCGTGATGTCCCGACGCAAGAAGCCGAGGTCAACATTCAGCGAGCTCGTAGCGCCAACGTCTGGTTCCTCCGGTTCCTCCCACAGCCGTCTGCTGAGATCCGTTTGACCCCGCGGCCCCAAAGCTCTAGGCGGGCGCGAGCGTGCGACCATGGGAAACCACCAGGAAGCACACAAGGGGCAGCATGGCCGGAGTGATGGATGAAAGCAGATATTTTGGTGTTTTGAAAAATGAAATCTGGGAGTGAGTGGGTATAAACGGCTTGTTGTTGATTCGCTATCCTGGTTCTGGACGGTTGCCCTTGTCGGATTGTTTATATGAAGTGACAGATGATGAGGTGTAGAAGAAAGTGTTTTGTTTTGTTTTGGTTTTTTTTAAGACAACGTTTGTAACATTATGTAATTTTCCCCCCCCTTCGTTCTGTTTTGGGCCATTTCCCAGGACCCCCCTCTCAGTCGCGGGTCATCGCTATGACAACAATGTCCGTAGCGAAACTCTTGAAGTGCGTCGCAGTTGCGGCAGGAAGTGTAAGCTCTTGTGTAAATAATCAAGATGCTTTGATTGTGCACTCAATATGTCAGACCAGCGCTTCACCAACTATGTTAAAAAAAAAACAAAAAAAACTTGGCTCCCCAAATAGCCTCTTCAATGACAAACATGAAAATGTAAAAAAAAAAAACCTCAACCGAACGCTCAAAAGAAGAAATTAGACAGAGGCGTTTTACGTAATCCGATGTATTTTAAACCGACGCGTGCCGCCCGCTTCTCCGCAGGAGCGCGTGGAGTATTTATTCCTCATCATCTTCACCGTGGAGGCGTTCCTGAAGGTGATAGCCTACGGCCTGCTCTTCCACCCCAATGCCTACCTGAGGAACGGCTGGAATCTGCTCGACTTCATCATTGTCGTCGTCGGGTGAGTCAGCGGAGATTGTTTCTTTTCTTTGCTTTTTTTTCTTCTTACTCATTTCTTAACTGAATTCCTCAAAGTGACCCCCGTGATACTCCGACAATGGAGTGGTTTCTTTTCTCTGAGTGACGTCTTCTCGTGAGGCAAAAAGCCCGCAATGGCAGCCCGAGTGAGTCACAATGCCCCCCTCCGCCGCCCCCCTATTTCCCATGACCATCATGTAATCTTTCGCAGTGAATCAAGTTTGAAAGCCGCACTAAACCTTGGCCTACAGTGGATTGGTGAGCCTTAAACTGATTAGCTTGTTAGATGCTGATAGCAGAGCTGCTCTGTGTTTTTCTTTATCTGCCACTCGGCAACTATAGCCCATCTGCTAAGCCTTTGCGCGCGCGTGCGTGCGTGCGTGTTGGCTAGCATCATGGTGCCAGCGCCTCTGGCATAAACACAACCTGTACCACACTTAGACGGTTATCTACCCTTTCTGTTTGCTTGTCTGAGCCTTTTTTTTTTTTTTTTTGTCTGTGTCTGGATGGAGACTTTTTATGATGACGCGCATCCAAAAACAAAGCGCCACCACGGCGCTCGCGTTCTACTGTACAGGTGATGATGAGTTCTTTCCCCGACCTTGGCTCAAGTGTGGCTCAAGGAATATTGCGCTTCACTCAGTGTTTTTGAGGGGGTGGGGTCACCTTTCAAAAACGGAACGGGTGTCCCACCCCATTCGCCGAGGGTGCGCAAACATCAATAACACCAATTAGAGCTTGCTACCAGCAGCACGTCTTTGAATGTGACACTCAACTCTTAATGGACTCATCATCGGGTGCTAAGAGACGATGAAAAATTTGCGGGCGGGAGTTCACTTTAATGGGATGAAAGTCAAGTCAAGGTCGATTAGTTGATGACGGCGTGATTTTCCGCAACATGTATTGCATCACGGACCAGTTTCACGTCGACTTTTTCGAATAACCGAACCAATCATTAAGACACAAAAAAAGTGATTGGATTAACAAACCGCTGTTCTTATACGCAACGGTTTTATTTTTGTACCTTTAGCCCGACGCAGATGTGTCAAGACTGTGCCGCTTTATTGGCCGGATGCTTTGCTGCAGAGAACCAAAATTGATTCGTTTTGCAACGGCGTATAATGACACCAAGTCATGTTTCGAAGTATTTTGTTCCCTCCCTCGGAAAGGTCATGACATTGTTCGAAACACCTCCCCGCGGGTTTGTTTCCTGACTTGTACACTTAACAAGCAGTCAAAAACCCTCAATGCATAACATTGCTGGATTGCCTTATTTGGTGTGAAATTGTGTACGGAACAGAATGGTTAAAAAAAAAAAAAATTGTCAGTCAAAACAGTGACGCATAAATATACACGTCTCACAGTTCAGGATATGTGCATCTGTGACAGCGTCGTCTCGCTGTGTAAGTGTGTGTATGTGTGTGTGTGTGTATATGAATGTACTGTTGTTTTAACTGCCAAGCCAGCCCGTCCGTGTGTGCCCAAGAATGAGAAATGACAGTCAATGCCCCCTCTGGAACGGTCAGCATATGGCCGAAAGACTTTGTGCTGGTGCCAAGGCTCGAAGGCAGGCAGTCAAAAGCTGTAATTGTCTTTTAATGCCGCGTCGCAGCAAAAAATGCAAATCAGCGGATCCTTGACGACGCACTTTTCGCGGGGAGTGCGTCAAAGGCAGGCGCGAGTCTAATTGAGAGGCAGGTAGAGTGACACAGAGATGCATTCCGAGTGCGCCGTTCAAGCGGTCATTTCATCTCCGCTAATTGATAATTGTCCATGACTAATGCGCACTGAGTGGCCTCCGAGGCGAGCCGCAGGTGGGGAAAAAAACGGTTTTGTATGGTAATTTTCGAGATGGGGCGATGAGAGGTGAGGTAATTACCTGTGCTTAGTGTACACAATTTCAATACCGAAGTCTTCATTTTCATTGGAGGATTCATAATCACGAGCTAGCTAGTCACAAGCATTAGCGCTACTAGCTATGTACATTAGCTCTGTGTCACATTGTGTACATTAGTTCTGCTTAGTGTAAATCATTTCCATAACTGGAAACCTTCATTTTCATTGAGGGATTAATAATTACTCGTCAGCACGCTTTAATTTTGCTCTTAATTTTGATTCACAGAAGCCAGTTCCCCAAAAAAGCGAAGCAAGAGGCATCTGCGTCAAGCCTCAACAAAAACAGCATTTAAAGCCAAGTGTTATTATTAATATTTTCCCATGTGTGAATGACAGAGGCAGCAGATAAAACACACACACACACACAAAAAAAAAATAATGATTGTGTTTATATTCTAGCCGCTGATATTCCTCTGAGAAACGCATTTAACTGATTTCCAAGCTCGTCTCTGTTTACTCCGTTTAAATGATTCATAAACGAAATGGATGGTTCAAATCCGGGCTTTGGCGGAATTCAATTTTGCAGGGGCTGAAGTTGAAATGAAAATTAAAAGCGGGTCGGATGAGGCCTGCGTTTTGGTTTATTTCACATCAACTTTTGCTGCTGTTTATTTGCACATCAATATTTTGATGTCACCGTGTGCTTTCAATCTGATGCAAAATAGGCAGAACCATAATCATAAACTCTTGTTTATTTGGAGTGGGATGTCAATATTATGATCGTATTTTATGACATTATTTCCATTTTTTTATTTTTTTAGGTTGTTCAGTGCCATCTTGGAGCAGGCCACCAAGGGTGACGGGGCCGCGCCGATGGGAGGCAAGGCTGCCGGTTTTGACGTCAAGGCTCTGAGGGCATTCCGAGTACTCCGACCCCTCCGACTGGTTTCAGGAGTACCCAGTAAGTACACAGAGTGGTAGAGTAAGAACAAAACGACACAAATGGAAGCGTCTGGGGATCAGGTGTGGATGAAGATGGGGATGAAATGAAGCACTGAGCTGATATTGATGCTCGCCGCAATAACAAACACACACTTTTGTCTCCCTGCGCTTTATCTGATCTCATCCTGTTTGCTCTCCCGTTGGATTATTGATTTCTTTTGGCCCGCTAACGCAGATGGGCTCACAGACAACTTATCTGCCGCTTGTAATGTGCGTGTGCGTGTGTGCATGTGCAATTGTTCCCACACTGCACCCCGCCGTGACCCCTTTCACTTGGCATTAAATTGGTGTCATGGTGACCCTGTCCTCAGGAGAATTTAAAAGGATTGTGTCCAAAAGACGGGCAGCGTGGGCTGTAGAAAATTGTCATCTTCTGATGCAGATGATTTGCTTTTTGGTCCCATGGCAAAAAACGTTCGGATTCTCCAGCATAATGGAAATCTTGCTTCCCCCAGGTTTACAGGTCGTGTTGAATTCCATCATCAAAGCCATGGTCCCCCTGCTCCACATCGCCCTCCTGGTCCTCTTCGTCATCATCATCTACGCCATCATCGGCCTGGAGCTCTTCATGGGCAAGATGCACAAGACCTGCTATCACGAGCACGCAGGTTACAGCGCTCTCACGTTCCCTTTATTCAGCGCCGTTGATTAACGTGTTGTCGATACGATCCCGGTGTTTGACCGCAATGAGACGCCAACAAGGCGAGGGAGAAAATGGCACGCACACTCAAAGCAGTCATATGCATTAAATATTTAGCCCTCATTTATGTTGGTGAGTATGAAGGATTTTAGCAATAATTGGTGCGGCGCTCGCCGTAAATGATTGAACCAATTTTCAATAAAAGGCCCCCAGGTGTAAATGGACTTGAATGTCGTGATGGTGATGATGATGTTATAGGTCCCCGGAGAGGCATTAGCGCTCCTCTGGGTAAGTGCCGGCGGAATACTCTGCCGCCGTATACATCAACCCCCGGAGAGAGCTTGTTTTGTAAAATTAGCGCACAGCGCCGTTTCACTTTTTTTTTTCTGACGGCGTGTATATTGATTCTATACATTTTAACCTGAAAGCTGTCTTTTGGGATCATTATTTTAAATGTGACATGACAAAATGGGATAGATTTGTACGTCTGCTGTCATTTCCTTGCCGGTCGGCCCCGTTTTATTTCTCCCAAGTGGCGACATTCTGGAGTTTAAAAGCAAACGGAAGAGCATTAGATGCAACATGTATTAAATCATCTAAAAATATATTTTTTACTCCCAATGATGTATCATAATTTTATTCCATCTCATATGATGATTAAAAAAATATTTCACGTTTGTGAAGCATAACTGCTGGACATAACACATTAATTGTTGAAGTCACTTATACTTTACGACGAAGATGTTGGCTTTACTTCCCCCTTTATTGGCATCAAACGTGTTAAATATTAGTGCAACAAGTCGTAAATCGAGCTCGCCGTGACGTCTGGAAATGTGATGCTCGCCGCAGGCACGCTGGCGGAGGAAAAACCGGCGCCGTGCGCGCCCGACTTGGCGTACGGGCGACACTGTAACCACAACGGGACCGAGTGCAAAATGGGCTGGGAGGGCCCCAACGACGGCATCACCAACTTTGACAACTTTGCCTTCGCCATGTTGACCGTGTTCCAGTGCATCACCATGGAGGGCTGGACGGACGTGCTGTACTGGGTGAGCCGGGCACCACACCACCGCCACCATGATAGTTTTTATTTTGTTGCCGTTTTTAAATTCACTGACCGTATTTTCCGTTCTATGAGGCGCTTAGGGGTGTAAGGCGCACCTTCAACGAATGGCCTATTTTAAAACAGGGTGCACCGCATTGTAAGGCGCATAGAATAGAAGCTACTATAGTGGCTGCGGTTGCGTTATGCATCCACTAAATGGAGTTTCGCGTAAATGTATGTAAGGATGGCATTACGTGAGCCCTCTAACTGGGGTGGTTGGATTTACCGTTGGGTTATGCCTGTCGGTTTGTAACAGGACGCTTCCAGTCGACACCCCCTCTGCTGTTTGCTTCCATCTTGTGCACACACACACACGCACACTGTGCGGCAATTGCATTTGTCACAAATGTACTTCTCTTTATAACAAGCACCCCCTTAATGTCTCCGCTGACTGCATCAATTTCCGAGCGCCGACAACCTCTTTCCCGTTTGAACGTCCACGCTCACCTTAACACGGCCGATATTTCTTTTAACCCCCTCACCCCTCTCCTCTTCCCTCTTCCTCCTCTCTCTCTGTCCCTCTGTCCGTCTCTCAGATGCAGGATGCTATGGGCTATGAGCTGCCATGGGTCTATTTTGTCTCTCTCGTCATCTTCGGCTCCTTTTTCGTCCTCAATCTCGTTCTGGGGGTGTTGAGTGGGTAAGAGCTTCTGCTTTGTTTGGTCTTGTGTGCGCGTGTTGTCTATGAAGCGGTGCAGCCAGACTCCCACCGCCAAACATTTTGAGAGCACCGCCTCCTCATCTCCTTTATCGAAGCGGGGGAAGGTGTTACGGGAATGCGAAACTCTCGCACCTCTCGCAGGTGGAGCGTCCCAAGACTTCTGTCCATTGAGTTTTACGCACGCCGCCATCAATTCCCTCAAATAACATGCCCAAGCCGCGTCCGTTGTTTCTGTTGTGGAGGAAGCCAAACAAGTGTAATTGTCATCATCCATCATGAAAGAACATGACGCAGACCGAAACAATTGATGGATATTTCCAAGCCAAGCAAGTTTATTACTTACGGAGCGACGCGCGTACATGCGCACGTCGCCATCTGTTATGTTCACGTCATTTGAGCAGAAGAGGCCGTCACGGTCGATTGGAGATGGACAGATGGGCACACGCACACACTGGCATCCGAGCTTTTGACCAGCTCCCTATCCGCGAGTGTCGCGCGTGCACGCATAGTTCTGTTTTCTCGAGTCGGCACCGCACGGTTCACATCAGGTTCAGGCGGCGACGGCGGCGCCCTCGAGAATAAAAGCGGCAAAGACGTGTTTTAACTAAGTGCTCGTCCGGCGGGTGACCCGGGTTTGCTTTGCCGAGTACAAGCACCACCCGGCCTGTCGTGACACGCCGGGATTTAAATAATTCACCCCCTGGGTCAGCCGTGGAGGCAGAACTCAGAAAACTCCGCACAACAGCGGGATAAAAAAAAAAAAAAATGATGGGAAGAGAAGGTCAGCTGTCGGGATTGACAATTTTTATTCTTTTAACGCCAAACCTAAAACTATCAAACAATCCAAGTGCAAAACAAGTCAACATGACATCCCATCATCAGCGATACTGTAGTTTACTATTGTATATATTTACTTCCAGTTGAAACTAAACTCCACTCATCGTGCTAACCCATAATTGGAAATGCCATTTTCAGGCTAACGGTTAGCATTGGTGTCGCGCTGTCGTCGAGATACATTGTACCAACACTCAGTGGCATACATTATTTATCCTCTGCGAAAAGTGACTATTGCTGCAGCTTACTGAGGAGCTGAGACGTGTTCATCCTTATGTCCGGATTATGCTGCCCCATCCCTAAAGGTAAAGATGATTTCAGATACGAAAATACTTGGATCTCAAGGCACCGCTCTACTTGGATCAAAATATCCCCAAATTTCGAGATCAAGCGATGGATTGAGGGCTGCAATAACGTTCGGTCCACGGGAGTCTTGCTGCACAACGTCTGACTCTAACGCCTTTTCTCCTGAGTAATTAATTAAGCGGGCAATTAGCCGATTTGAGCCTGACCCTCCAGCTCGCGCTCCCCTCCCTTCCCAGAAAGACACCTGCCTGCCTGCCTGCCACCGTCGCGCGCCGTCGTTCTGAAAACGAGGCGTCATGTGTATTCATGAATTCATGAAGCGCAGCAGGCCAAACGCTGAGGATCTGGCGCAAGTGACGACACATCACGAGCAATTACTCAGGATCTAACCTTTTCCCATCCTCTTCCCCCCACACCCCCTCCCCACTTCAATTCCTTTTTGTTGTTATTGCGGCTCCCCCTCCCCCCTGTCCCCCCCCCCATCTCTCCACCAGGTGAATGATGCAGTAGGCTACAAGTGGCCATGGGTGTATTTTGTCACCTTAATCATCATTGGATCCTTCTTTGTGCTTAACTTGGTTCTGGGGGTTTTGAGCGGGTAAGGGCAGGGTCCGCGACCACTTCAGACTAACCTCTCCTTTTCAAGCTTGGTGTAGACGCTTGGTCCGCACAATTCAATCATTCAATGCGCCAAAACATTTTTTTTTTTCATGTTTCTGAACTCGTTCAGTACCAGCCAATTCTGGACCAAGTTTGAAAAGACGTTTAAAAACGTCTTTGGGAGTGAAAGCGAAGCCCAGGTACATTCTGGTGTCATTATTTTTGTATTTTTAGTTCACGTGGTAGGCTAAAGAAGCGTTTCAAAATGGCTGGGACTGAGTTTAATCGAATTTGAATCTCAATTGCAAAAAGGAAAAGAATCGCAATCACTCGGGATTATTTTTTAAAAATCATGCAGCCCTACGTTATGCCTCAAGAGGACTTTTGGGGAGTCTTCCCTCTTCTGTGCTTGTTTCATAGGTACACCGTGCAGCTCGTTTAATTCCAAAGTCCCCCCGCTTGAGCATGTATGTTTCAGTCATTATCCTCTCAGCCAACTGTGGTGAAATCACACTTAAGCATCTGCTTCTTCAAGTCGAGCAACGCCGACAACTTTACGGATATTAATTCTCCGACGCCGATGTCGCTCTGCCGCCCGGTTGGAATGACACGACACGTTTCGTGGGCAGCGCCGTTTGGCGGGGAAAAAAAAATCTTCAGACTCTTGTGAATGAACAATGCGAATTGCAAAAGTGCGTTTGCTGAAGAGACGCCTCGCAGAAGGCGAACATTTGCTCGCGAATATCTCGCAAAACGGATGCCTCCAACCGATCCTCCTCCTCTGAGGCGTGATACTTGGGCTGATACGCCAGCAGCGTTGTCGGGTATGGGGAAAAAAAAAAAAGGAAAGAAATAATAAAAGTCTATTTGGCACAAACAGCTCGGGGTGGCTTTGCTGTCGGACTCTTTGCCCGACTCGTGACTAATGATGCCGTTAACACACTACACCGCCTGACCTTTTCCCCAACTGCTTCATCTGCAGTGTGTTGGAGGAAAAAAAGGGCTCGAGCGGGGGTGGAGCGGGCGGCCTTAGACTGGCGTGATAATTGATGGCTAACCAGGAATCAGAGTGAGGCGGCGGCAACAAGTCGAAAAACAACAGGGAAGCCGCGTCGGATGTTTGAAGACGACGACGACGACGCGTGTCCGTCTTCTTTCCGATTGACCGTGAAACAGCCCGACCGGTTAGCGACCTCGCGCGACGAGTCGGCAAACAGACGGCGATGAGCTCGGCGATGCGCGGCGACCTCGGAGCTCTTCCGCTGACTCGCGGAGGTGCTCCAGGCGGGGAGGAGCGTAACTTGGAATGAATTCGCATGACACCGAAATGCGACCAGCAGGAGGCTAAATGCATCAGACGTTTATGGAGTATGAGAACAACTAAGAGGGGGGCGTGATCTCGCATTTGCACACTAACACTCTGTAGCTTCTTTCCCCTTGACAGGTTTTCCCTCCTTCCACCTTTCGGAGGCACGCCGTCAAAACGCGTACGTGTTTGAACGAGACTTTCACCCCGGATTTGTTTTCCCGTCTCTCTCCGTCTATGATTCCTGGGCGTGCATCCTGGCACCCTGCTCCATCCCAGAGAGTTTTCCAAGGAGAGGGAGAAGGCCAAGGCACGGGGTGACTTCCAGAAACTCCGAGAAAAACAGCAGCTGGAGGAGGATCTCAAGGTGGGGGGGCCACTTTTGCTCATCTGGACAAAAGTCTTATGCAATGTTTTATTTTTTTTTAATGTTGTGCGTGTTTGTGAATGTAGGGCTACCTCGATTGGATCACTCAGGCTGAAGACATCGACCCGGAGAATGAAGAGGAGGGTCTGGATGACGATAAACCCAGAAACTGTGAGTCCATCCTTCCTCCAGTCCTCTTGCGCTCTGCGGCGCAGGTCTTTGGGGGGCTTACTCCAACAATAGGTATTAAACTAGTTCAGAGCACCGCTGCGGTGGAGGCATCGGATTTTGAAAGGCTTTCGGCCTCGGGAGAGACCACAGCGCGGAGCCATTGACACGTGTCGAGGGCCGATGTGGAACGTCTCCTTATCCGAGCTCCGCTGTCTCATCAAGGCAACGCCATGTTTCATATCCGAAGAAAGTCCCGAAGTGCTTTTCTTGACGGGACTCGAGGCCCGTTCCAGGAGCGCCGCGGTCGTTCTTTTTATTTGATTTTATTTTTTTAAGTGGCTGATGTCTTATTTTGCGCACGCGGGGTATTAAGATTCACATGCAGTGTCTGACTCTGGAGTTTTTTTTTTTTTTTCACAACAAGCGTTTGAGGTGGCAGTGGGGGGCCAAAGACTGACAGAAGCAATAAAAAGCAATGTTTCACTTGATAACAGTCTCATCCCGGGACTGGCAGCCCCGCCACCCCCCAGTCTCCCTCAATGCCTCTCCATCCACCGCCTCCATGCAAGCGTGCTTCACCAGCGCCCCCCTCCCCTCTCTCTCTCTCCAATGCCACTCAAGTATCCCTCAATCTTTTTTTTTTCAACACACTCCAGTTGGCTGCCTCCCCATTCTCCACATTCTCTCACTTAACGCTTTAAAGCACTTCAGTTCCTTTCGCTAGGCGACATTTCTCTTCTCAAACGCTAAATGACCAATACATGCCGTGCCGCTTTTTTTTTTCTGGCATCCTGTAACGACACAAGCCGCCTCGGCAACTTATGTTTGTGAAGACAAGAGACATCAAACATAAAAGCCCTTGCTACAAAACAATATAGCGGCAATGTTTGCACATGAAAGCCCGCAATTTGCAGCTTTTTAATATCCCTGGGAGCGCCCGAATAACAAAAGAGGCTTCTCGTCGGCTTAGAAATACAACCCTATTAGCTGTTGTGTGGCTCGGGTCCGCTAAGCTCCGCAGCGGTAAATCGCTGTCAACATCGTAAGGTGTGATTACACATCGTGCACATTGGGGAAGGATTTTATTTATTTTCGGGATGCGTGTTGAGCGTGTGTCCATGCTAATATGTTTCGATGGTTTGTTTTGGCATCTGAAAATGATCATTTATTCACCACAAATATTGTCGAGCTGTTGAACTGTCTATGATCGCCACGTATAGTGTCAGGCAGAACGACTGAGAACCACTTCGGCCCACTGCATTTTTTTTTGGGGGGGGGGGGGGGGTTGGGGTATTTTTCCTTTCTCATGTAAAATGTTCTTACCTGACTCTGTGGTTGCGTTCCTGTGTCTCTCAGTGAGCATGCCGGCCAGCGAGAATGAATCGGTCAACACGGACAACGCGCCCGGAGGTGATGTGGAGGGAGAGACCTGCTGCACCCGGCTAGCGTAAGTCCTCGGCCGCTTGCCAGACCGGACGTGGGATCTTTCCTTGAATTGTGCCTCCGGTTGAGCCAGCAAACTGTCAAAGAGCCCATTTACATTCATCTCATAGCGACCAAGGACAACGTTTCTCGTTCCAGGTGTGCCAAACGGTAAACTAGCCGGGGTATCAATCATCTCATCACATAGTTTAAGAAAAAAAAAAAAAAAGAAGAACCTTTATTGCTCACTCCCCCTCTGGTTCTGATCGACTGTCTTTTGTTTGGACGGCCCAAAGCGCTCGCCTGCTCACCGGCAGCTGACTCGCTCGCTCGTTCGTTTACGTCAAGATCCCAACTACCGCTTTCTTGCTTCGACCCCCCCCCCCCCGCCTGACTGGCCCGCTCCGGCACGCCCATGCCACACGGCACAGCCGCCGCACGCCGCGCCACGGCAGAGTCTGAGCCACGCGCTCTCTGACTGGAGGGATCGTGACATCCACGGCACGCTGTTGTTTTTTTCATTCTCCTCCCGCTGTCCATCTGTTACTTTGTCTTTGTTTGGCTGTTTGTGGGTATTTGTCTGAGCCAAAACTGACCCCCACCCTCGCAAAAAAAGCAAATGATGTCATAAACTGTGCCAGAATTTTTTTCGAAGCTACAGCTCGTGTCATGTATCGATACAAATACAAGCATAAACAACGCCGGGGCCACATTCGCGTGGCGTGAAGAAGTTGAGTAGTTATCCTTCTTGTCGCCATGGAGACGGAGCTTTGGCCAACTTCCACTCCTGCTGATCTCTTTAGACTGTATATCTACCGTATGGGGTTTGGTTCTTTACTTTCTCTTTGTCCTCAGTCTTATGTTCATGTTGATGTTCCGGTGGCAAACACTCAAACCAAATTGGACCAAGATGTCATTCCAAACTTGTCTACCCTCAAAAAAAATTTGCATGACTTCTTTGACTGGTTGCCACTTTTTACATGTCCTCACAGGGTGATTTGACCAAAATCGAACATGGGTTTTGCCCCGCCTCCGTCAAATCACCCTCAGTGTTGCGTCTCGATGTGTGTGTTGTGCGTCTGTGTGTATAATCCATTCTGTTCTCTGTGTTCCAGAAATAGGATCTCCAAATCCAAGTTCAGGTTAGTACATGTTGTTTGCCATCGTCTCCGCTCACCTGCTCCCGACGACGTGTGTGCGCACGTGTTTATGTGTATTTGGCAAATAAAGAGATGCTTCTGCAAATCCTCGGCGGAGTCGATCCCGCGCTAGGAAACGGCGCAGCGCAATGTTGGCTTCTGCGCGCTATTTAAAAAGACGCCTCAGAGCCAGGGGAAGATGGTCAAACACAAATAGTGGACGGGAAGAAAACAGAAGGAGTTAGACAAGTCGATAAACACTTTCCAAGCAGAGCATAAAATGCAAATAACAATCAGACCGCCTTGAAATTGAAACCCCTCCCAAACAACGGGCGCGAGGGGGACGTCATCACCACTCCTATTGACTTTGTCTCTATTCTCGCCTTTTTTCCCCCCCCTTCAGTCGCTACTCTCGCAGGTGGAACAGGCTGTGCAGGCGCAAGTGTCGGGCGGCCGTCAAATCGCAGCTTTTCTATTGGCTGGTCATCTTCCTGGTTTTCCTCAACACTCTCACCATCGCCTCGGAACATCACCAGCAGCCGCAGTGGTTAACGGACGTACAAGGTAGCTTGTTTAAGATGCGCCGGGGGCTGCCCAAAGTTACGATCCGCTGGCTTTTTTTTTTCGACAAAAACCAAACCTTTTTGTTTTTTGTTTTTTTTGGGAGGCTGAAACAGTAATTTGGACAGGATAGCAGATGTTCGTCGCTAACTTATTTCACTTGCTTCAGACATAGCCAACAAGGTGTTGCTCGCACTCTTCACCGGTGAGATGCTCTTGAAGATGTACAGCCTGGGCCTTCAGGTACAACACCCGGGAGTGTAAATTGAATTTGAAACGAGGTGACGGGAAAAAAAAATGGCATCGAGATTGGGTTTCCACCCCCCCCTCCCACCGCAGGCGTACTTCGTCTCGCTCTTCAACCGCTTCGACAGCTTTGTGGTCTGCGGCGGGATTCTGGAGACCATCCTGGTGGAAACCAAGATCATGTCGCCGCTCGGCATCTCCGTGCTGCGTTGTGTACGCTTGCTGCGAATCTTCAAAATAACCAGGTCGAATTATTCGAAAATGTCGTCTTCCCCCCGGGGGTTTGCAACACACTGAATGGACTTGTGTCTTTGTTGCATCCAGATACTGGAACTCGCTGTCCAATTTGGTGGCCTCCTTGCTGAACTCCGTGCGCTCCATCGCCTCCCTGCTGCTTCTGCTCTTCCTCTTCATCATCATTTTCTCCCTGCTGGGCATGCAGCTCTTTGGCGGCAAGTTCAACTTCGAGGAGACCCGGCGGAGCACCTTTGACAACTTCCCCCAGTCGCTGCTGACCGTCTTCCAGGTCGCCGATCTAATCTGTCTTCAAAACAATTTCTCGGCGACGTCCTTTTTACCGATGGTTGTTCATCAGATTTTAACTGGTGAGGACTGGAACTCGGTGATGTATGACGGGATCATGGCGTACGGTGGCCCCTCCTTCCCCGGCATGCTGGTTTGCATCTACTTCATCATCCTCTTCATCTGCGGAAACTGTATCCTGCTGACGCGATGAACGGGGCTGAGAAAATCGCCATTGGAAAAAACACACCCGAGATGTTTCCCTCTGGGCAAATTGCGTCTGGAAAAAATATGGGTTGTCGTCTTCATACTCTCAACCCGGAGTGATTGTCGAGCAAGTCGGCAGTTTTTACACGCGGCTACTCTGAGGCCGCGCCGAGCGGCTCATACAAATTTATCCGGGGTTTGAGTCCTTCCGCCAAGGGGAAGTCGCATTAAAGTCCACGAGGATTGATGAAGTGACACGTTCAGCGGCATCCTTAATATCACCCCGTGGCCAGATATCCTTCTGAACGTCTTCTTGGCCATCGCTGTGGACAATCTGGCCGACGCGGAGAGCCTGACATCTGCCCAGAAAGAGGAAGAGGAGGAGAAGGAGAGGAAGAAACTGGCCAGGTAGGATTGAGATCGACAAGCGTTTTGGAGAGAGCGACAGGGAAGGGGAAGTGCTTAAAGGCTGGCGTCTGGGGGGTTTTGTTTTTTTTTTGTTTTCCTCCAGGCTGGGCACGCCTGACAAGAGGCACAACAACGAGAAGCCTCCACTGGAGGAGGAGAAGAGAGAGAAGATTGAGCTGAAGTCCATCACTTCGGACGGCGAGAGCAACACGGCCACGAAGGTACACACGACCAAGTGACATCACGCTCGAGTCTCTGCACCGCGTATCCTCACTCGAGGTCGCAGCCGCGCCATATTTTTCAAATACCAAATTTGAAATTTCACAAAGCACAATTGCGGCTTTTTCGTCTCTAAAAATGTTCGTGATTTTTTTTTTTTTTCCCCCCAGAGCAGGTTTGTTACATTTTTTTTTTCCTAGATGTTTAGTTTCCATTTAGGTTTTCTTCGTTTTAGTTTTTTACACTGTCAATTTTTTTATTTGTTGAGTGCAAGAGAAAAAGATGTTGTGGAGAAAAAATTCCCACACGACTGTTTGACCTTCACAAAGACGAAAACAAAGGGGCATTTTCATTAGTTTGCTGATTTTTCAAAACCTAATGTTTTTTTTTTTTGTTGTTGTTTTTTTAACACTCGTTTTTATTTTCCTGACATCAAAATCCCCTTTCAATTTCAGTCCTCATTACTTCGTTGATTTTGGGCGAACTCCAACCCTACCTTCTTCATTTGCAGATAAATATGGACGATTACTGCGGCGATGAGAGCGAAGAGAAAAATCCATACCCTGCAAACGATTACATCGGTAACGCACTCTTGCAAACTTGAATTGAAGGGGGGCTGGTGGGGGGGGAGTTCAGCGACGCGGCTGGACGCTTCACTCCCCTCGATCTATTCGCCAGGCGATGAAGACGACGAGGAACCCGACGTGCCGGTGGGCCCGCGGCCGCGGCCGCTCTCCGACATCCAGCTCAAGGAGAAGGCCGTTCCCATGCCCAAAGCTCGCGCTTTCTTCGTCTTCAGCCACACCAACAAGTAAACAATCCTGACATGATAAGATGTCCACTGGAGGAACCGCTGTCCCTGAAAGGGTTCAAATGCGCTCTGTTGTGTATTTTTTTTCTTCCCCCCCCCTCCCACTCCAGATTCAGGGTTCTGTGCCATAAAATCGTCAACCACAACATCTTCACCAACCTCATCCTCTTCTTCATCCTGCTCAGCAGCATCAGTCTGGCGGCGGAGGACCCGGTGAAGAACGACTCCTTCAGAAATGAGGTACTTTGAACAGCAACAACACAAATGTTCACACGCTTGCGGGCAGTGCTAAAAGCGCCAACGGCCGAACAAGGACGACCTTTACGGCGGCGACTCATTTCCTCCCTGACGACTGTCCAACAACTTGTAAAAAGCCCGTTCAGCTTTATTGGTTCACTTTCCTCTTAAATGCCATGCTGCTTGAATTCACTCCAAAACGTTTGCATTTCCAAACTGTGAAGTTGTGACTTTTCACGAATGTCTCCCCACGTCCTTGCCCGTTCGTTTCGCATCAAAACGATGAGCATCGCGGCTTCCATTGCAGATCCTGGGCTATGCAGACCACGTCTTCACGGGGCTTTTCACCATCGAGATTATTCTCAAGGTATGTACACTCCACTTTTACTTTTGAAATGGGTGTTTCATGGGTGGGCGTGGCACTTTAAAAAAAAAAAAATCTTAATGGACCGTTGCACCACGGAAATTATTTGCGATTCAGTAAAAAATATCTTTGTTTTCATAAAAATGGTCGCCAAGGATGAATTCTGAAAAGCAGAAGGGCAAATTCATGTAGGAGAGAGTCAAGTGTGATATGCACAAAAAAAAATGTTTGGATAACAGAACACTGATCCTGATTGGCTAATTACTCTTTAAAAAAAAACAAAAATGTATGGGCTTGGACATTTCGAGCTTGTCTTTCAATATCTTCCGTCCTCAACAGATGACAGCTTACGGAGCCTTCCTCCACAAAGGCTCTTTCTGCAGGAACTATTTCAACATTCTGGACCTGGTGGTGGTCAGCGTTTCCCTCATTTCCTCTGGGATACAGTGAGTCAAATCCTTTGTTTTGGTCGCCCAAAAAATGGATCGGCCGCCAATTATCTCACCCCCTCCACACCCCCCCCTGCGGTGAACCGACGCCACCGAGCCCTCACTTTGCCTTCACGGGTCGTTTGGTCGGCCCCGCGGCGACACAAATCAACTTGTCACATCGCTAAGGAGGCAAATGTTTAGCTTGGTAAATTGGCCCATGCTTCACAGACACGGCCTCACTCTTCGCAACTTTACACTCCAGCGCTCACCTAAACACCCCCCCCCCCACACACACACCCACACACACACCATGATGCCGTTTGTTATTAATAAAGATGTCCTTTGCTTCTTACAGCGAAGAACTCGTTGGAATGCTGTGATGTTTCTCATGTTTAATACGCTATGCTCCACTCTCTGTTTCAAACTCTTTAATAGACTCGACTTCTCGACGTAAGTCCATATTAGTGCTTGTGAATATGACCCGAAAGTCACTGTCACTCCCTTGGTTTGGTATTTCTACCGTTTGGGAGAGTGGAGCCAAACAACAAATGATTTATTATACTTCCTGTAAAACCCAATTGTTAAATGTCCTCTTAAAAAGGACAGTTGTTTTCATCCAAAGCTAATTATCATTATTAAATTCAGTCCACACTCCAAATTGAACTCTCCTGAGCAATAGAAATGGCAACGGAATGTGAAAACTCAAGTGTTTTTTTTTCTTTTTTTCTGTTCTTCTCTTTTTGCCTTGTTAAAGGTAATTAGTGTGTGGGATGTCGGTGGACGGACACAGTCAACTTCAGTCCATTTGCGAGAATTTCACGGCACCGCCGTGAGCAAACGTGCACGTGTGCGTGCGCACGTCGTGTATTGTGGCGAATATTGAGTAGATGAACGCCTCATCGCTTTCATTAAGTCGAGGAAATCTGACACTTGAGGGCCAAAAGCGGCCCTTGCGGGAGCACTTCCTGTCATTGGCCAGCCGCTTAATGGCGACGCGCACTTCCCAACCCCCCCTCCCGCTCCGAGTCCGCCCAAGCACCGAGCGCGGCTTTTATGTTTTATGGGAACCTAAAAGGTGTCTTTATTTGTGTCATAGTGGCAGTACGCCATGTCCTCGCGGCTACTTTGGACTGTGACACGTCAGCGGCATCATCCCACGCCCACGTCGGCTACCTTTAAACACCTTTCGACTTCCCGTTTGAAGGCACCACACACACCTTTCTTTCCTTTCCGGGCTGTTGGAAGGCGTCACACACTCCTTTCTTTCCTTTCCAGGCGGCACAGTCACCCCCGTCGAATGATGCGTTGGCATTTTGGTTGTATGTGTGAAGGAAAAAAAATGTCTTCTGTTGCTTTTTTTTTTTTTTTTTTTAGCATCTTTATCGTGAAAGGTCAACCCTCCCCACACATGCACGCACACACACACACACACACACACACACACACACACACACAAACACACACACACACACAGAAACACATATCACACACACACACACACATATGCAGGTCCTCACAATGTCATGAGTAAAAGAACACACACATACACACGTTTGTTTTTTTTTAAAAATCAAAATGTCAACGCATTTATTCAGTTTTGACTTTAGAAGCTTTTGTTTTGGGCACAACCTTTGAACTGACACTTTCCTCGCAGCACACTTTGCTATGCCCTTGTTTGTCTGGGTGTTTTGTTTATGCCGTCCGTGTATTTGTGTGTGCGTGTGTGTGTGTGTGTGTGTTTTGTGTGTGCCGTGTGTGTGTGTGTGTGTGTGTGTGTGTGTGTGTGTGTGTGTGTGTGTGTGTGTGTGTGTGTGTGTGTGTGTGTTTAGTTGATTGTGTGACAGGACTTGTTACCGTGGTGCTCCGAAGAGTCCAAAAAGCAAAATTAACCGTCTCATGAATTGTCTTAGCCAGCCTTGTAGAAATTTGTGATATTAGGGCAGAACTAAATTAATTGAATTCAAATGGACATGGTCGAAGAATGCAATTTTCAAATCACCAAGGCTGAAATTTTGGAGAAAAAAAAAAAAAATACAGCCCCTGCTTCATTTCAGTCGTAAATGCATTCCGCATTATTTCATTAGTCCATAGTGGAGTCATTTAAAAAAAAACAATGAGAACGGTAAAATGCTGAACAAAGACTCACAGTTGCTACGTCCACTTTCTCTCAACAGCCGACAAATATTTTGTTCGAAAAACGACGGTTTAGCATTTTAGCCGGCCGACCGCTCAATTGTATCGCCGTTGCAGGTCCAGTGCGATCAACGTGGTGAAGATCCTGCGAGTTCTCCGAGTGCTCCGACCTCTGCGGGCCATCAACAGAGCCAAAGGCCTGAAGGTCAGCGCCTCATCGAAAAACAAATCGAAGCGTTTGAAACGCCGTCGCTGACCGTGTCCGTTCCCCGCTTTCCTCAGCACGTGGTGCAGTGCGTGTTTGTGGCCATCAGGACCATCGGCAACATCGTCATCGTCACCACGTTGCTCCAGTTCATGTTCGCCTGCATCGGGGTGCAGCTTTTCAAGGTAGCGCGCCGGCGAACGCCGAGGGGATTTCGACCACGGGAGTCATTCATGCCCACATGTCGCGTTGCTCTCCAGGGCAAGTTCTTCTTCTGCACCGACAACTCGAAACAGACGAAGGCCGAGTGCAGGTAAGCCGCGGCCGCGTCGACGAACCGCAACCGCCACGGCGCCCGTCACGTCAACGCGAGTTTCTCGCCAGAGGCAACTACATCAAGTACAAGGACGGCGACGTGGCCAAGCCCGAACGAGCCCTGAGACAGTGGGAGAACAGCGAGTTTAACTTTGACGATGTGCTCCAAGGCATGATGGCTCTGTTTGCGGTGTCCACTTTTGAGGGCTGGCCGGGGTGCGTGTCTGAATACGGAAACACTCACAGACCACGCGCGCAGTCATTCGGTACATGGCCCCGGTTTGTTGGCCGTTTCGGCTCATCAACGCCGCCCCCCACCGTCCCCGCAGGCTCCTCTACCGGGCCATCGACTCTCACACCGAGGACGTGGGTCCCATCTACAACTACCGCGTGGTCATCTCCATCTTCTTCATCATCTACATAATCATCATCGCCTTCTTCATGATGAACATCTTCGTGGGTTTCGTCATCGTCACCTTCCAGGAGCAAGGCGAGCAGGAGTATAAGAATTGCGAGCTGGACAAGAACCAGGTAATGAAGGGACGTGTTCCCGATGCCAAAATGGATTCTACTTGGGATAGTTTCAGAAACGTCGAGTCGAGCGCTTCACCTTTTGTATCTTTTGCGCGTTTTGTCACAGCGTCAGTGTGTCGAGTATGCCCTGAAGGCCCGCCCCCTTCGCCGGTACATCCCCAAGAACCCGTACCAGTACAAGGTGTGGTACGTGGTCAACTCCACCTACTTTGAGTACCTGATGTTCACGCTCATCCTTCTCAACACCATCTGCCTGGCCATGCAGGTGAGCCCCCCCACCGCGAACACGCGCGAGGTCCTATTTCCGTCTCTTCTGCGCGCCAATCGCCTGTCGCTATCTGCGCTTCGCAGCACCACGGTCAGACGAAGAACTTCAACGACGCCATGAACATCCTCAACATGCTCTTCACGGGGCTCTTCACCGTGGAGATGATCCTCAAGTTGATCGCCTTCAAACCCAGGGTGAGACCCGCTTCCGTCGGAGACGATATTTGACGCCATGCGAATTGAAGCCGAATTCATTCCGATGCCGTGAAATCCGTTTCCGGTGCGCACTGGGATGCTGCCGCGTGTCGACTCACGCTCGCCGCGTTTGAACAGTTCCTTGGCATCGTCACCTTCCAGGAGCAAGGCGAGCAGGAGTATAAGAATTGCGAGCTGGACAAGAACCAGGTAATGAAGGGACGTGTTCCCGATGCCAAAATGGATTCTACTTGGGATAGTTTCAGAAACGTCGAGTCGAGCGCTTCACCTTTTGTATCTTTTGCGCGTTTTGTCACAGCGTCAGTGTGTCGAGTATGCCCTGAAGGCCCGCCCCCTTCGCCGGTACATCCCCAAGAACCCGTACCAGTACAAGGTGTGGTACGTGGTCAACTCCACCTACTTTGAGTACCTGATGTTCACGCTCATCCTTCTCAACACCATCTGCCTGGCCATGCAGGTGAGCCCCCCCACCGCGAACACGCGCGAGGTCCTATTTCCGTCTCTTCTGCGCGCCAATCGCCTGTCGCTATCTGCGCTTCGCAGCACCACGGTCAGACGAAGAACTTCAACGACGCCATGAACATCCTCAACATGCTCTTCACGGGGCTCTTCACCGTGGAGATGATCCTCAAGTTGATCGCCTTCAAACCCAGGGTGAGACCCGCTTCCGTCGGAGACGATATTTGACGCCATGCGAATTGAAGCCGAATTCATTCCGATGCCGTGAAATCCGTTTCCGGTGCGCACTGGGATGCTGCCGCGTGTCGACTCACGCTCGCCGCGTTTGAACAGTTCCTTGGTTGTGCTAACGTAAATCACGAATGAATGTGCTACATTCAAACCCAATGGACCCTAAATGAGTGAACTCATCCAATCTTCCTCCTTATTTTCCCCTTCATCTTTGCCCCCCCCCCTCCCCGACAAACCAAAGCCTCCATGTGCTTTATAATAGTGGTGCCTTGAGTTTGATTCGTTCCGCGACCACGCTTGTAACGTAAGCCCCGCCTTAAATCTTCCCATTGTGGCATGTCATTAGCATTAAGCTAGAGGAAATAAAGGCTAAGCTATGCAGTTTTTTTTGGAACACGCGCGCGAGTCCCCCGGTTTTAGTTTGACGGTAAACTTCAATCAACAGCTTGAAGCCTCTTTGAGGGCTCGTATCTTGAAAAAGTTGGTTGTCAAGTCGCTCGTATCTCAAGGCGCCACTGTGGACGTGTTTGTTGACAAGTCTGAGAATATGGCAGATGAATGCATCAGTGCTACACGCTCGAGCCGATATGGATTTTATTATTTTTTTGGGTGGGGGGGGGGCAGGAAAAATAATTCCACTGATGATTAATTGGCTGATAAAGTGTGTAATGAATTAAATGACTTCTTTGCTTTATGGATGATTTTTTTAGGGGGGGCATGAGGAAAATGTTTGAATTACCTTTAGCTTATTTTGTCACGGATTAATGTGGGCAGCCATCCTGCATCGAATTTGGCTGCCTCCGCAATATGTTAAATAAGTAAGTCCAATCTCGGAGCCTCCCAAAGTTCACTTCATTTTGTTCCGACACGTGTAGCCGTCGTGCTTCATTGCATATTCATGATGGCCCGCGCCGAGCGGCGTGGCTGCCGCGATCGCGACCGATAACGGCGTGGAGCATCAAGGCATTCATGTTTGTTAACGGAATTGTTTGTTTTGTTTGTTTTTTAACGAAGTGTAACATATCTGATCCCGCCTTCAACGCGCTACGAGGCGGCGGCAGATGGTGTTTCCCTTCTAACCTTCCTCCTCATCCCCCCCCACCCCCCTTCCCTCCTCCTCCTGTATAGGGGTACTTTAGTGATCCCTGGAATGTGTTTGATTTCCTCATCGTAATTGGCAGCATAATAGACGTCATTCTCAGTGAAATCAACGTAAGTACTCGCCTCCCCCCCGCCCCCCTCCTCCTCTCTCGCCAAACCTTTCTCCTCTTTCGTGTTCTCTGCGTCTCCTCCTTTCCTCCTCCTGCTCCTCTTTTCCTCCCCTTCCTTCCTTGAGTCCCAAAAGGCCACTCGTTTGGAATACCAAGGCAAGTCAGGCGGGCGCAAACGTCGTCAGGTTATATTCCGTGACGATGAATTGGATTGAACTGCCTCACATCACTCAACGCATGCTGATTTTTGTTTTTCTCCTTTACTATTTTTTTTTTTAATGAACATTTCAACCTTACCTTATGCTATGTTTTCTCTTTGCTTTTCTTGTCTTTTCATTTTTAAATGTCATTTTTGTTCTTCTGCCCCCCCCCTCCCCGGCCCCCCGCCCTTTCTTTTCTGTCATCTTTCTGTCCTTTCCATCGCCACGCAGCATTATTTTGTTGATGCATGGAACGCATTTGATGCCTTGATAGTTGTGGGTAGCGTTGTTGACATAGCGATCACGGAGGTGAACGTAAGTAGCCCGGCTCCCTCCGCTCTGCCACACACACACACACACACACACACGCACACACACACAAACAGAGGCCGAGCGATACCCATCTCGCATGTCTTCAAATGATTAGGAAACCTCAGCTGCGCTGCATTTGATCCCGCGATGGCCGAATTGGGTCAAAGTGAGTCAAAAAGAGACCAGATGGAGCAGCGCTGCAATGCCTTGGTGATGCATTGCTTTGCTAATTTGAAACACATGAAATGCACTTTCACAGCGCTTTGCAATCCCGGCCACAGCTTTCGGAAATTGCGCAATTCCAACAAGTGGATTTGGTGTTTGCGTTTCATCTTTTAGAATTTTATTTTATTTTATTTTTTTTTGCCTACACATTCCCTTTGCATGTCAGGTGACAAGATGCACTGTTAGGGTCTGGTGTCGTTCAATTGAAGTGAAAAGATACACGGAGCAGACATGTTTTTTTTTTTTGGCAAGTAACAGGCACAGGAAAGAAATTTAATTCACAAATGCTTTCACTCGGGGCCCGCGAGATGTATGTAAATGTATTTATGAATTCATTTCTTCTCCACGTAGAGGCCCAGCGGACAACAACGGAGCCGCATAACAATGCCCGGCCGGGCCCAATGCAAGTCGAATGTCGAGTGTCCATTGTGTTTACACTTCACGGATGCTTGCCGTCGTTCGTATCCGTGTGATACCGGAGAAAAAAAAAACGAATAAGGAGAAGAAGAAAAGCTCTTTAGCATGCAGCATGCAAGAGCGCCGTACGCCCCACATTATTTAGTCATAGAAAAAGAATAAGTTCTGCTGGCGGGACTCGATTTCCAGGGAAGCAAATCATGTCGGACAACGTTGTCGCTTGCAGGGCTGGTCAAATAGATGGATGTCACGTTAAAAATTCATCTTGAAAAGTGCCGTTTTTATGACCTGGACTATCCGGGCTTCATGTTCTCACGCTCGACATGGGCCAGGATATGAGTCACTTCATTAGGAACACCTGCAGATTCGAATAGATTGACATGAAACAAACAAACAAGCAGCCCCCCCCCCCCAACCCTTTCAGGGACAGCAGTTACCACAGTGGACAGTTTATCATGTGATCAGGTTACAGGGTGCATGAAAGGGTTAATATCTCACTAGATTCCAATGTGATTGTGTACATGCAATGTCATGTCACACTCGCACCCCTCCCCCAGGGCGCACGCAGCTGCGTTTTAACACCATGAAACAAGGCACGGATGTGCACAAGGGTAGTAGTGCAGCATGTTCCCCCCCCCCCACCCCGATGCTGGAATGAAGTACGTTTCACCCCAGACAGCGCTGGCCGGGCATACCAATAAGCTCGGCGCTTCCCAAGGGTGCGAGCGCCTCCAGAAAAGGGAATCCATGTTCACCCCCCACCCGCCCCCGTCCGTGATTGGTTGGGCGGCGCTCTCGATGAAAAGCACTTTGACTTTGAAGACACTTTGACAGGACAGATTTGAAACGACATCCAGGCCCAACGGTGCGTCTTGGTTATCTGTAAAAGCCAACCTTGAAATTGGATTTGCTTCTTCACTTTGCCCTTGATTTTCCTCATTTGCTAATCAGTATTTTTCCTTCTCTTTGTCATGATTTTTTTTAATTTTTTTTTTTTTACATCGTATTCAAACGGAATGAATTCTAATAAAGGTTATTACAGTTCAGGAAAATGCAAAACGTTTTTCGAAAATGTCCCCCGTTTTTCATTTTCGTCAGTTGATATCCGAGGTTTATTTCAGTATTGCTACAGAATAAGGAAGGTTAACTTTGTGATATAATGCTTCGTCGCCTCCTTTTTTTTTTGTGCACTCGACCCATATATATTAAAAACTAATCATAAAACGAATTAAAAACTATTAAAAAAAAAAAGTCCAAACCATTATAAACCTGCAACATACTCTGCAACGCTGCAACTTTTATGTCGTCACATAAAATAGCGCAAATGAATGTAGCAACATTCACATTTTGCTACGTCAGTTACCGTCATAGCCAACGTCATAACAGACAGTTTGTGGAAACCATTGTGCTCGCATAACTTGCCTACCAATTTCCCTTCCTTCCTTCCTTCTTTCCTTCTTTCTGTCCATTCTCTGTTTCTTTCGTCCGAGTGTCATATAACCCCTCACACCGTAATGCACGTCACAGATATTCTTACCGGCAGATGGTACAATCCGTTGCCTTACGACCCTGTTCTAACCTGAAAAGTAGGTGGCCCGGTTACAATTGCGCCACAAAGAACGGCTCCTCCAGCTTTCTCTTCTTCCCCTCGCCTGCTGTGCCTTTTGTTCACATTCTCTCCTGTGCCAGTGCCGCTGCGTCATCCTTCTTGCGGGAGATGCTTTTGGGCGCTAATGATGCGTTAACGCTGCGCTGAGGTATTTTAACAGGGCCCGCCCAAACCGAGATATATATATATATATATATATATATATATAATTTTTTTTTTTTTTCTGTGTGCAATTGTCCACGTCCATCGAGTGACTACACGTGAATGTGAGATTCCGACGCCTCTCGGACCGGTGAGCGTTTCGAACCGGAAAGAGGCCTCGAATAGCACATCCGGCGCAGTAAACGCAGCTTGAAGCGTCCTGTGGCATCATCGACTGCGATTGCTTTGTCGCTCCAGCTGGCAGCAAGAGAAACAGATAGCTCCAGAGGCAGGCCTCCATCCATCAGCGTACACATAAAGCCACGGGCACCTGCGCATAAATGTTGCAGACACATCATCAGCTCCTTCGCCTTTTCTCCGCACTGGCCCGGGCGCCATTATTCATTATTTCAGCCCCGCAGCCTTAAACAGACTTTTCCAATATCCTCCAGTGCCAACATGGTTCAATCTAGCCTGATGCCACCCGTCTATATGCTGTAATATCTTCAGAATTGTCCCTCCTGGCCCCGATGAAATTATGCCTTTTTTTTTTCTTTTTTCTTTTTTTCCATCCACTTCTCAGTTGTTGAATCATCAAACTGCTTGGGATGGCAAGTAAAACTCCTCAAGCATAACATCATGTATTTCTACCGCAGCGGTATTTTGGTGAAGTCGGATTGGGATCGGATCAAATCTTCATCGGTGTCGCTCCAATTCACAACCGAAGGCCCCACGTAAGCAAGCAGGGAGGCCCAAAAAAAAAAAAAACTGGAGGGAGACCGTCTGCCTCCAGAGGTTGGATTGACAGACAAAGACAGGCCAGAAAACTGCTGAGACATTTAAAAAAAAAAAAAAAAAAAAAAAAAACACGATATTACCTCGAATAAATTTTGGAAGACAGTTTCTTATCATTGCAAATTCGATGACTCAACTTGGAGACGTCTGACAGGCCCGAGCCAACACCGATTTGCGTACCTTCTGACCTGTAAATATTTTTCGAGCAATACCCCTAACGCAGGAAGACGCGGCCAATCGGTCCGAGAGAAAACCCCCGAACACCCTAAGCTTGACCCCTTGACACCATTTGTTCGATTCGCACACCTCCACCTTTCGCCAGTGCTCTTCGTTCCGACGACCAACACGACACGCTTCACGAGGCGCCGCTCTGTTGCTGATCTTTGTTGCCTTTCCTTAAAGCCAGCTGACTCCTCCTCGTCCTCCTCCTCTTCGTCCTCCTCCTCCTCCTCCTCCTCCTCTCACCCCCCTGTGGTAAGACCAATGGTACGCTCCGACGGTAACCTCGTCCGCCTCCCTCTTACCTTCCTCCTCCTGCGTCCATCCGCATGACCCCTCCCACCACCACCGCCGCCACCGCCGCCGCCACTCCGCTGATATTCCATATTTGTGTGTGGGCCCAAATGTATAAACTGGAGTCGTCTGATGGGTTGTTGTTGCCATGGCGCCCGTTGCTTCCCCCTCCTCCCACCCATGCTTCCCTTTCTGGGTGTTACGTCCAGTGCTTCGTCATCAGCGCAAACCATCACCCCCCCCCCCCCCCGTCACACTTAGCGGCCTTTATCTTTCCATTTCTTTGATGTGTTCAGAAACCAATTCTTTCTTCTTTCTTCACTTGGCGTCACCTCCGCTTTCCCGCCCCCACGCTCTTTTTCATTGCAACGGCCTCAACTTCTTTGGGCTGTGGTTTTTGGTACGACAGCGTGCAGCAGAGAACTTTTGGGAGCAGCGGGCAACCCCATTTTCTCACACATTAGCGGATAGCGTCGATTGAGATCGAGCAAAATCTGTTCAAAAACTTTTCCGGAGCACACCACAGTTTGGACGATGGCGACAAACAGATGTGTCCGGATGCACTGCGAGTGTTTTTACAATCGTTGCACCTGGCGTTTTTCTTATTCTGTGGCTCCGGCGCTGCAAAAAGTGTTGAAAGCACTGTACATCACATGTCCAAATCTTGCGTTGCCTTTGTTGTGTTCCCCCCTTTTCCCCCCCCCCCCCCCCCCACTAAGAAGGAGCAGCGGCATAAATAAATGAGCGTGTATTAGAATAGCACTCAGCGAGGTGGCTGAATATTTTATCATTGACTGCTGGGACACAAAAGAAAGCCGCTGTTGCCGCCGCTAAAACCTCGTCAACTGCCAAATTTCAGCCCAAAACCAAAAAAACTGTCTAAAAATAGCCTGCCAGGGCAGTACGTCAGTCACAAGAGGGTTTGACAGTCAAAGCAAACCACTAGAAAGGCTGAGAATGAGATTTGCCAAGCGTGATGACAGGAATTTATACCAGCAGGTATAATATCTTAATCCATGTGAAGCTCCCCAGTTGTTTCCTCACACCAGGAATGATTTATTGGAACCTCCCTCCAGATCTCTGATCCTTCTAAATTGTTTTCCTCGATTTATGGATGAGCTTCCCGGCGATGGTAATCTCCACGGACACGCTCATCTTATTCAAACGTGCGCGATAGCACGGCCATCCTGGCGTTTCGGCAAATGAATGACAAACCGAAGTCCGGTGAACCGTGAGATCGGTCGATCTGTTTGTTGCCTCGTGAATTCCCCCGCGATGCCGCTCAAATTGACAGACCCCCCTCGACCAGATCTCTGTTGACAGCCGGGTGCAAATTTGCATACTAACTTGAGAAATGTGTGCGTGTGTGTGTGTGCAAATAATGTAAATAATGTCAAAAAGGGCCTGCAGAACTCTGAAGAGAACGCCCGGATCTCCATCACCTTCTTCCGGCTCTTCCGTGTGATGCGTCTGGTGAAGCTACTCTCCCGTGGGGAAGGGATCCGGACGCTACTGTGGACCTTCATCAAGTCCTTCCAGGTAACTCAATTCGAAGGCTCCTCTTAGCCACCGCTTCGCCCTCCAATAGTGTCTGGTCGGCTGACCCGAGGCATCAGGCAGGTCCTGGGAGAGGTAAAACCCAAGTTCAGTACCGTTGGCTTTAGATAAGGTGCAAGGCGGTCCAATTCGGCAGGGTGGGATGCACACGGGCCATTGGGACCAACCACCTTAACTTCTATTTGCTTTTCATTGAAAGTCAAGAAATACGGTGCCGTTCCAGACCTTGGTTTCTTCCACACAGAACAGAAGTGGCTTTCATAAAAAAAAAAAAAATGGAATCCTTTTTGCTCAGCGGGACATACTTTGTATATCTGACAGTCATCCGCACACCAGTGGTTTCTTAAGATGCAAATGCAATGTAAACAGCAGGGGCCCCAAAATTGAACCCTGTGTAACACCATCCGACCTGATGTTGTCTCTTCTCTCCAGGCTCTACCTTACGTCGCCCTGCTGATTGTGATGCTGTTTTTTATTTACGCCGTCATTGGCATGCAGGTAAGCCACCTTCTGCTTTGTCTCCCTGTTGGATTTAATTGCCCTTTCCTAATTGTCCAAAGAGACTGGTGTGTTTTCTTCTCCCCCGCCGCCCCCTCGTGCAGATGTTTGGCAAGATAGCGCTGCGGGACCACACGCAGATCAACAGGAACAACAATTTCCAGACGTTCCCCCAGGCAGTGCTGCTGCTCTTCAGGTGAGGAAGATTGCAGCGCTCCTCTCCTCGGCCACGCACCCTTTCGCTGTTCCCGCTTCTAAAATAAGCCACGGATTTCCATTTATTCGCTCCGTTTTGCGGGTCACTTAAAAGATAGATTAGATGTAAATGTCCAAAACGGATTTTAAGAGGCGATTAGATCTGGGAAAGAGAGGTGAGCATGGAGCAGTTTGTTGCTCCAGCTGCGCGGGAGCATTGGTAGACAAAGAACTGAAAGCAAACATTGTGGCGTCAGATGTGCCACAGGCGAAGCGTGGCAGGAGATCATGCTGGCGTGCTCGCTCTATCGGCCGTGCGAGAAAGGATCCACCAATGAGAACGTCGCCATCCAGGAGGACTGCGGGAGCCAGTTCGCCATCATCTACTTTGTCAGCTTCTACATGCTCTGTGCCTTTCTGGTGAGCACCCAGCCCAAACCCCCTTCTCCTTTTTTTTTTTTTTTTTTTTTTTTTTAATTTGTACCTGAATCTTCTCGTAGATCATCAATCTCTTCGTGGCTGTCATCATGGACAACTTTGACTACCTGACGCGGGATTGGTCCATCCTGGGGCCGCATCACCTTGACGAGTTCAAGAGGATATGGGCCGAATACGACCCGGAAGCAAAGTGAGTTGGCCAAAACAACACCCGACGCGGATTACGAGTCGGCGGTGCGCAAAGACCGTTATCGAGCGTTGTTGTCGTTTCTTTCCAGGGGGAGGATCAAGCACCTGGATGTGGTGACTCTGCTCAGAAGGATCCAGCCCCCGCTCGGCTTCGGGAAGCTCTGTCCTCACCGGGTGGCCTGCAAGGTGGGCACCCCGGCGTGCGCTTTGACCGGATGATTCCCGAAGAACATTTAGCATTTTTTGTTTATTTGTGTGTGTGTAGCGTCTGGTCTCCATGAACATGCCGCTGAACAGCGACGGAACCGTCATGTTCAACGCGACGCTCTTTGCGCTGGTCAGAACGGCACTGAGGATCAAGACAGAAGGTTGACGCGCGCACTTGACATTCGCGTTCGGGTTGTCTTTTCCAAGATCGAAGTTTACGTTCTGGTCCGTGCGTCTTTTCAGGGAATCTGGAGCAGGCCAACGAGGAGCTGAGGGCCATCGTGAAGAAGATCTGGAAGAGGACAAGCATGAAACTGCTGGATCAAGTGGTGCCACCTGCTGGCGGTTTGTATTCTGTATTCTCAAACGTGACTGAGAAATTTTTCCACACGTGGGCTGTTCAGATTTTTTTTTTTTTTTTTTTAAATAATAGCTGCAAACTGCTTGTTCCCACTCGAATACAAAACAAAGAGGATTACACGTATTTTCAATATTCTTTATCCTCTGTGAAAGACGACAAATATTTTTGCAGCTTATTGAGTCACTGAGACTATTGGCACCTTTTGTGTGCGTCGTTTTGGCTGTGTGACTGCACTATAATCCCCCCCTGGTGGACAAGAATCAGACGCGTGCAGCACAATGAATGAAATTGTCGCATGAAATCATATTTTAGACAAGAATGTTCAGAGTCACACATGCTCATGATACAGCTGTCATGTTCCAAATGTTACTTGACTCGCTCTTTAGACGACGAGGTCACGGTCGGAAAGTTCTACGCCACCTTCCTCATTCAGGAGTACTTCCGCAAGTTCAAGAAGAGGAAAGAACAAGGGCTGGTGGCCAAAGTGCCGCCCAAAACGGCCCTCTCCCTGCAGGTACGCGCGCAGACAAACCAAAATGTTCCCCAAACTATGTTTCGGCATTGAGAATTTTCGCCTGTGTTTTAGGCGGGCCTGCGGACGTTGCACGACATCGGTCCGGAAATCAGGAGGGCCATCTCCGGGGACCTGACGGTGGAGGAGGAGGTAGACAAAGGCCCGAAGGAGCCCGTATCGGCCGCATCCGAGGACGATATCTTCAGGGTAAAGGTCGGATACACACACACACCTTCACTTACTCTTCGGAGAGCGAGCGAGAGAGAACGAACGATGCTCCGCCTCCAGCTTGAAGCTCTCCATGTCAATATGAACAATCCTCCATGCATGCGCTGAAGTACATACGAGTAAATACATTTGCGTTTGGTATAAGTTTTGCTTAACCTGCCTCCCATTGGTGGCGTCATTTCTAGTGCCCGACCAATGGCAGGCCTTTAATTTATTTATTGATTTTATTTTATTTTTTTTAAAAAGGGCAAACGGCTTCAAAAAAATCCATGTCAGTCTGGCCGTCTCGCAAATGTGCTGGCAACCATAATTTCCATTGCCGCTTTGGAGCGCCTCGTTGTCAACCATGAGTGTGCGTACTTGATGAAAAGAAGCCGTAAGAGGCAGAAGATTAAAAAATAAATAAATAAAAAAAATCTAGACATATAGCATAAAAATCAGGCTGTCATTGTACTTCAAAGTTATGATGAATGAAAATTGAGGAAATATCAAAAACTCAAAAAAAAGTTGAGACACTCTTTGCATTTGCATCCTGGCTGGAATGAATGTGCCAAATAATGTTTTATTGGACTATATTTTCATCCTGCATCCGTATTAATCTCTTTCTCGTCTCCATCTTGAACCACGCAGCGGTCAGGCGGCTTGTTCGGAAACCACGTCAACTATTACAACCAGAGCGACGGCCGCGCCTCCTTCCCGCAATCGTTCACCACCCAGCGTCCCTTGCACATCAGCCAGAAGGGCTCGCCCTGCGAAGGCGACAGCCCCTCCCACGAGAAGCTCATGGACTCCACCACCTTCACGCCGTCCTCGTACTCGTCGTCGGGCTCCAACGCCAACATCAACAACGCCAACAACACCGGCATGGTGGGCGTGGCCCCGCAGGGCGGCGGCCGCTTCCCGGGCTCGTCCGTCAGCACGGTGGACGGCCACGCGGGACAGCCGCTGACGCCCGTCCTGCTGCCCAGATCGGCTTGGTGCTTCCCTCCCAAGAGGTGAGCACGCAGTCATCCGTGAAAGGACAACAATGATCTCTGCTTCGAAACTTTTCATTCCTTTCTTCTTTTTTCCTATCTTGGTGCACATTGGCGAGCAGGACGTGTTTTTTTGACAACCTCCTTCGGTATGTTGCCAGGGCACAGATATCTGCGCAGTGTGTGTTTGCCGACGTTTGCTCCTAGAAAAAAAAAAAATTAAGTCTCATCGTGCGGATGAGAAAGTGCCATAGCGACGGCGGTTGCTATGCACCCTTGTGCTGCTTGCGTTGCTGGAGCTCAACGGAGCCGACTCGCCGGCGCTGAGCAAAGCTGCGGATAAAACGTTTGGGGACCACCGCACCAAACTTTCCCTATCCAAGGCTTTTTAATCGCTTTTGATTTGTCGGTCACGCCTTCTGGGTTAGATTTGGTGAAACATCTCGACTGGTTCAACGAAGCACACTTCTAACCCAGAGTTTGCTTTGGCGCCCGAAAAACAGACTTGAAACCAGTGGCGTTTTTATTCTCGGTGTTACTTTCTACGCTAACCCTCGCCGCTCCTCCAGTTCTTTTGCCGTTCTTCTTTTTGGAAGTGTGCGCCTGTGCTTCGACCACCCGCTTCTAAAACTCCGCTCGTCCCGTACAACTGGCGGTCATTCTGCGTCTCTCTGCGTCGCAGCTCCGACTCGAGCGACAGCCGCCTGCCCATCATCCGCAGGGGCGAGGGGTCCACGGAGGAGACGTACGACGAAAGCTACGCCGACGAGAGGGAGTTCCAAGAAGACGACCACTCGCTCTCCTCCGACATGTATGACCAATCGATCAAAGTCACGGCTATCGATAGGGCCGCGGTGGGGGCGCGGCATTGCTCACGCCACTTTTCTCACATCAGGCTGGTGTACCGCGACGACACCTGCAAGCAGCTGACTCCCATGGAGGAAGGAGACGACATGGAGGAGAGAAGAGGAGTTGGGGGGTGGCAATCCCCCAGAAGAGTCTTTCTATGTCCCACCTCTTTAGGTACAACGCGATTCACTTCAATCGCCGTCTGTCGGTCTTGTTTTCACCACTCGGTCTTTTCCGTGTCGTCAGGACGGAGATCTTCGTTCCATTTAGAGTGTCTGAGGAGGCAGTCGAGGGCGGACGTCTCTCAGAAGACGGCCGTGCCGCTGCACCTCGTCCATCATCAGGTAGAAGTCGGGTTCATTCGCTCGGGGTGGATTTTTTGCGAACTGCGCTAACTCGCCGGCCGCCCCTCCCTCAAGGCGCTCGCCGTGGCCGGGCTGAGTCCGTTGATCAGGAGGAGCCACTCGCCCACCCTCTTCAGCCGGCTGTGCTCCACGCCTCCGGCCAGTCCCGCAGGTATTCCCGCTCGCTGTCGAGATGATCGGCGGACAGAGTTGACGAGTCGTTTCTCCTTCCGCAGAGCAAGGCAGCGACGCCTCGTATCAGCGCGTACCCTCCCTGAGGTTAGAGGGCTCCAACTCCCATGAAAAGCTCAACGCCAGCTTGCCCTCGGTCAATTGCGGGCCCTGGTAAGACCAAACGCTCGGGGCCAGTGTAAAAGTAGGGGGTGGGCACCAAAAATGCGCACCAAAAACCACCGAGGCGTACTCCAACGTGTATGGAGCAGAGTGCCTTCGTCGTCGATAACGCACTTTCGAAGACAGGGGTCGTTTGTCTTTTGTAGGTATACCGACAGTAATGGGAACAGTCGGGTACCCAGTCCTAGCCCCGCCTCCGGCATGCCCACAACCAATCAGAGAGCGGCACGGCCAGTGTCGCTCACGGTGCCCTCGCTATTGGGCCACGACTCCAGCTCGTCGCACGGCAGCGCGGGAAGTCTGGTGGAGGCGGTGAGTGTGTCCCTCCTCGCCCTCGCTATTTCATCATCCCCCGCCCGCCAATCAATCCTCGCCCCCACTCTTGCCCTTTGCAGGTGCTCATATCAGAAGGCTTGGGCCAGTTCGCGCAGGACCCCTCCTTCATCGAGGCCACCAAGGCCGAGCTGGCCGACGCCTGCGACATGACCATCGAGGAGATGGAGCACGCCGCCAGCAACATCCTCAACGGCAACGCCCCCGCATCGGACGCCACCGCGCCCGTCGCCTCCCAGCACAGCCCCAACGGCAACTTCCACAGGGACAGGGACCGAGGGGCGGAGGATGGCGGGGAGGCCGGCGGTAACCGAGGCTCCGTCCACGGCCCGTCCTCTGTGGAAGAGCGGCAGGAGCTGCTAGCGGGGGCGCGGGGACAGGAAGAAGAGGACGATGACGAGGAGGAGGAGGAGGAGGAGGAAGTCGGGGGGAGGGAGGAGGGACACCACCGAAGCTCCGCGGCGATGGCGGGAGCGCGGCAGAGGACCAGCGGGCTGCTGGAGGACGAGGACATGGAATGCGTGACCAGTTTGTAGGGCCTCCGCTGGACGTCTCGCCATTGGTGGCTGCGTTAGTCCCCGCCCCCTTCACACACGCACCTCTCCTCCGCCCGAGGGAGCGGCTCCGAACAATGGCGGGCAAGGCGCGTCCCGGAGCGCCACAAATGCTTTGTACGTCTGAATGTTTGTAGTAAAGTATATCACACTATACTCTATATTACCGGAGTGCGCGCCGGAGTGCGCGCCGGTGTGCGCGCGCGTTCCCCCCCACCCCCTTTGTATGCACATTTGCGTGTGTGCGAGTGAGTGTGCGTGTCTCTAAAGTGCCTCACAGTTTTCTCGCGTCCTCAAAATGACGAGGCGAAGGCAAGAGGAAGGGGAAAAAAAACATCCGTTGGCCTTTTCGTCTTGTGTTGGGCGAGCGGGGACGGCACGTGCCACGGCGGAGCTCCTCCTCCTCCTCCTCGATTCACTCGGGATGAAGCGCTGTATCGTCAAAAGAAAAAAAAGCGTCCTCCTCTTCCAAAGGAACGCCCCCTCCACTGGGGGGGGGTGCGAGGGATGGACCGACAGCCGCCAAAATGGCTGACAAACTGCCCGTTCAGCTCCACCTGGCTTTCTTTCTTTTCGTCACTTCCTGCTCCCAAACAGGAAACGCGACGGGCGGAGATGCGTGCACCATTTTTTTTTTTTTTAAATTCACCTCATACCTCTCCCTCGCGCCCTCCTTTCGCCATGCCGCCATTTTCTTTCGGCGAGGAGTTGGACAGGACTCTGGCTGACCCCCCCATTCTGTATTGCCCGCCATTTTGTTTTTCTCCTCGTGCTGTCTAATTTATCTTTTTTTTTTTTTTTTTTTGCACAATCGGGGTGCTGGTCTTTCTAAATGTACTTTTAGGAGAATTTTAAGCAGTTTTAAGTAACAAAGCAGGGGCGTAGACTTTTATTTTGAGGTTGTGTGTCTGCGTCCGTACCATTTTGCGCGCGTGTGTATGTACGACGAGGGTTCTTTCTCTCAGTATGCACCTTTTACAGATTCTATCTATTTATTTATTTATTCCCCCCCCCCCCACCACCAGAGGAGAGACGTGAGTGTGTGTGCGTGTTTTGAGCGGTTTACCTACGTACGCTTCAGTGAAAAAGATTTTTAAGCCTAGACAATAATTTAAGGTAGCATTAAAACAAGTGTACGTGCGTGCGTGTGAACGGGCCTCAAAAAGGGGTCACCGCAGACGGGCATGCTTCCAAAGCGTTTGAACGTTCGGACTTTTCGCATTTTAATCGGCACGGATTTGGGGGGGGGGGGGGTTCTCTTCTGAGGTAGACAGATTTTTCTTAATGATTGTGCTGAAAAAAAAATAGTCATGAATGCAGTGAAAGGGCCGTAACACACTGTTATCATTGATACGAGTCGTCTTTCTCTTCAAACTAACTCTTAGGGCTGAGTTTAAAGATGCTGCAAGAATTTTAAATCCATCGTGAAACATCTTAGAGGAAGTGAAGTTTCAGGGTTTTTTGGGGGTTTTTTTTAAGTGTTTAATTCGGGGTGAGGGGGCATGCGGATTTTGCCAATCGTCAGTTGGAGTTTGTAGCAAGGAGGTGCGCCAGTGACAGATTTGGAAATATTTTCAAGCAGTATTTTAAGGGCGTCATTTAAAGTTTCATCATTGTAGCTTCGTAGCTCGTCACTTTTTTTTTTTTCAAAATAAAAGTGAAAAATGCTTTATAAACTACCAAACATGCTCATGAAACCAATTCAAACTCACCAAATTTTCAAACCAAAAATGAGAATGAAATCAAAATTAACTCACATGAAAATTCCCAAACTATTATTAGCCTGCTAGCAAGATGTACGCAAGTTTGTCTTGATTCTCGCGCGTGCGCTGTGACTCCCCGTTGCCTCTCGAGGACGAAACCCACTCAAACCTGGAGTCAAAGATCGTATTTGCCACCCCATGCCCCCCAAAGAAAACGCCACCGCATGTCGCTCTCATAGCGGCAATTAGCCAAAGGTGGCTGCAGTATTCGGTACTATTCGCAGCTCTGCGAGGACTTTGTGTGCCAGGAGCACTCTTGTGACATGAGAATTATGCAAACTTAATGTGAATGTGATGTCACGTGGCTGGAAAGCGCCGTCTGCAATTGTGAGGTTTTTTTTCTGTTGCTTGCTTGCGCTTATTTGCAGCTTTGTTCGAATGGATAACTTTCACTTTTTGAGTTGGAACGATTTTGACGTAAGGGCCCCCGTTGGATCATTCCTCACATTTGACCCCAAGTAACCCTCTCCAGTAACAGCTAGATATGCAATAACTTTCTGTGCAGTTCCCCCGGCGCGTTTTTTTTTGTTTTTTTTTCCGCATGCCAGAGAAACCTACCATACTTGAAATCAGGTGAGATGCAGTGTCGTTTACTGACCTGAAATCAGTTTTGTGTTTTGTTTTTTTGCACCAGTCTGGGTGGCTGATGAGTGGTTGATTAATTTCTCTGGTCAATATGACTGACTGGCAGGTGTCGCTCGACGTCAGTGTAGCTGATAGTAGGGCTGAACGATTTTGAAAAATAGCGTAATGACGATTTTATTTTCCCTCGAATGCGGTCTAATATGCCTTTTTTTTTTTTTTTGGTCTTCTTCGCATGTATTATTTATTTATTTTTTTGGACAAATATCAGCAATAAATGATTCCAGGTTACAATAGACGTACATCTAGTTTTGGTCATTTCATAAATTTGAGGCTTAACGCGAAAAAAATGAACAGTGAATTATTATTATTAAAGTTAAAATACAGTTTCCCCTATAAATATGTTAATAAGAAATATACGTTGAAAAAAAATAAAGGCAATTGACCGACCAAAGTGAGCCTCACTTTGGTCGGTCAATTGCCTTTAGTTGGAGCCTTTTCGATGTGAACATTGCGATTTGAATTCAATTAATCGTTCAGCCCTCCTCCTTGGTTAGTGTACATAAGGCAGTTGATATTCAATGAAGGCATGATTTTGCATATCTTGAAGAGGACACCATTTTTTTTTTTATCCTACTCCCAATATCAAACTTATTTAAAGCCCCTCTCCAAAGCATATATCGAATAGTGCTGATCCTTCAAGCCATTACTTATAAAGGAAAGTGACTTATTTATTGATTCTGATATTTCCCAATGGGATTTTCAGATAACGCTGTTTAGGAATGGCCATCCGGCGATATTTTCTTGATCACTCAGTTAACTGACAGGAAGGGAGATTTCGCTCTCTCTTCCTCTCTGAATGTTCTGTTCTCCTGCTTCCACACGTGACGAGGCCAACTCAAACAGTTCTACACAATCTACAGTGGTGCCTGGAGATAAGAGTGACACGACTATGGAGTTTATCGTAAAAGGGGGTTGTCGTCGGTTTTATTTTTTCTTTTTTTTTTTGCTTTGACTCGTGGGCAAAAATTTGAGATGAGCGCGCTGCATGGTGGCAACTCAACTCCACTAAAAAGCAGCAGCGTGACAGAAAGATGACAGATATTATATTTACAACGGTGTGACTTGGCCTTTAAGTCTGCCAGTTCAAAGCTAATACATAATGGCGAAACATTCTTAACTGGCTAATGAATAGCATCTGCGTGGCGGTGTCGTAAGACTAAGCAACGAATATAACAATGTTTACGGGTATATATATAATCTTTATTTTGGCGAAAAACAGCGAATATTACTGCAGATTAAATGAGTCACTCAGTAGTTTGTGTCTGTGTGACTGTACTCTGCTGCCCTCCGGTGGCCAAGTCAAGCACACCGGGAGTCGAAACTTTACTGCCATTTTCCTTATTTAAAAAACCCCAACATATTAGGAACATTTTGTTGTTGTTTTTTGTGAGGGGGCGTAATACTTATTCCATTCATTTCAAAGGGCGAAGATGATTTGGCGATTGTTTGATTTCTATTCATGAAACTTGTATCTCAAGGCACCACTGCATCATTATGCCCATACCGATGATATAAAGGTTTAAAATCGATATCGCTTCACCACAGGCCGACGATTGTATATTTTTCTACAGCATATCTGAGTCATGAATATCTAATCAAGCGAATGTGACGGAATTATGAGGTCGGGAATGTATTTATGGCCTACTGACTGTAGCGTCAGCATGAATTTATTGGAACGTCCCACTTGAGGAAGATGTTCGGGTTGCGAACGTTTATGAGGACTTTTTTTTTCCATTGAAGTTTTGAACCATTGCTTGTTCGAGCTCAAAACGGCCGCCAATCACTTTCAACCCAGAATGAAGAGCAAGTGTACAGATATTTTGTGGGAAAGTATATTCTAGAATGCTAGATTCCATAGCGACTTTATTCTATTTTAGATATAAAATGGAGACATACAATATGCGTCGATGAAAAGAGAACGACGGAGACGGACAGTGCAATGAATCGAATTGCTGTTATTCCCCGATAAGTTTCCTTTCTACGAGCGGGTTTCGAACGTGCATGTGCAAGACCGCAAGGACAAAATAAATGTGACCAAAGCGAAAAGGATTGATCTTCAAAGTCAATTCCGGGTGAAAGGTAACAGGCGTCAAGAAGGGAGGCTTTCTTTCTCACCACTATTTGTTCGCCGTTAATGAAAACGAACTATCTGCCGTCCGAAATTTGAGTCAAGACACATACGAGTCCGTTTATTGATTTTTTTTTTTATTTTAAGATCACAATGAGTCGTGCAAGCATGCATGTAAATGAGTGTGTGTTTGTGTGCGCAGCTTTAATGAGCCTTTACTTTGCTGACAGGACTGACGAGTCTAAAACTCTATTGAGGGGTTGTTGTTTTTTTTTTTTTGTCTTCTCCGCAGCTGGGAATTGTGCAGAGAGGCGTTCAAAGACCAATTATTCACATTGTTGTATTAGGTGACATCACCTTGTTTTCCTGTCACAGACAAAGTGAGAGTGTGTCGAACGGGTGGCCATATCGGGATGACACAAGCCACACCCCCTGGGTTGCGTGAGGGCTTTTCATTGGCCGACGTCACTTGGTCGCCTTGGTAACGGCTGCATGGTCTCTCACTTTGGACCTCTTCTTTTTCGAAGTTTTTTTTTTCTTTCATTTCATTTTAGACTCTAGAAAAGGGAAAGAATATACAAATAAATCAGAATATTAATTCAATCACTTTTTCTACTCCTATTTTCCAAAAAAAAGTGACACTGAAAAAAAACAGGAAAAAAAAAAGTTTATTTGTAAATAAGTCGTGTACAGTTTGTATCTGTAAGTCGTCAGTCTGTCATTGGTGACAGAGTCTGTCTTGCTTATAACGCACGCTACCAGTAAATAAAAAACAAAAAAGGAAAAAGTATATTTAGACTGTATGGTCCCTTGAAAGCAAGTTTTAAATTAATATCTGATGTATATTCCTGTAACATTGCATTTTTATCTGAGGAATGATGTTATTAAAAAATTACAAATAAATTGCATTTCCTACAGTCGTCTTCCTCATGCTCCCTTGTTTCTTCCACATGTCATTGATGGGCCTTATTACTTATTTATATTTATAATTTCGAACTGTGTTCGTTACATTTTAAATTGAAAAGGTTGAACAAATTACTTTTCTGTCGAAATTTGAACATTCCAATCGGTTTGAAAGCAGGACAAGCCTCCGCGTGAATTCACCATGCTCTCGCGAGGTTATAACATTATATGTTGAAGTCGCAATTGTTGTTTGTTTTAATGTTCACGATTTGTACAAACGACACTGCCTCTTTGCGACACCACGCGCTCCTGCTACAGTCATTCACAATCATAAATAGTACGGTCAATTCCAGTCGTGACGAATTGTTTTAAAATGACAAAGTTGAGAGATATACTCGATATGGTCCAATACTGCCGTGCCGTGGCCATGTTGAGTAACTACATCCAGGGTGGCTGTGGGTGAATGGATATAAAAGAAACTTTATCCATTTAACTTGGGGACCACTTCATTGGGTACACTTGCGACTTATCAACTGTGATAGACGTTGCTTCCCATAACCAAGACATAAAATGTAACGAATAATTTGGCCATTTTGGACACTTCGACCTGTACGTTTGGAGGGTACACGTCACATGATCACCCGTGAGAGGAGGGATACACGGGACTTTGCAGACCCGCCTCCTGGATGTCTGAGGTTGAGATTTTCCCAGTTGATGTGTGTGGGGCAGAAAGAGACACGGGGAGAGAGATCGCGAGTGTGTGTGTGTCCCACCAGGAGGCGAAAAGAGACGCTCCACACCTTCATGGAGGACACTTGCACCCCTCAATCTGATGTTTGCATGACACCATGTGTGGGAGCCGTGGAAGAAACTCACCTGGACGTTACGATGAAGACTTCTCGTTTGTCAGCCCCGTGGTCAAATATCTGCTCTTCATATTTAATTTCCTCTTTTGGGTGAGTCTGCTGTTTTCCAAATATGTTGGTTGGGATGATATTAGAAGTAGCAAACTACAACGATATTTACGCACGGAGTGTTGAAGCTAAACATTAGTGTCTTAACAGAATTACATTGTGTGCCAAATCAAGTGTATGGAGAATTAAAATGTCCGTTTTTTTTTGTTGTTGTTCGCGTCAGACGATTTATAAAACAAATTTAGCAGCCAAATGATTCAAACTTGAAGTGTTCAATCTATGGTTCACAAAAAGCTCAACCCAGCACACGATCACAGCAGTGTTGCAGCTAAAAGTAAATAAACGCGTTGAAAGTGAAACAGCTACACCGTTCTCAACAAAGCAAAGTCCCAATTCATGTTTGTTCGCTTTAAGAAGATTTGGATTATAGATTAAGATCGGCGGAAAAGGCGTACACAAAATGAACACGGTTACTGGTTTACTATACGATTTTGATTTAACGCCCCTGCGACAGGTCGTGCTTGGGCAAGACGAGGATGTGTAAAAACTTGAAGAGATTCCTCTTACACTGTGCAGTTTGTTACACTTGCCGCCGGCACTACACGGAAATTGACAATAGCTTTATAATGTAGAGTAGAATAGAGTGTTTTCATAACTAACGTTTACGTTTCGTGAGCATGTCTTTCCGAAGCTTTTGGAATTCTTTTTAAATGTATTTATTCAGTATTACGGTGGGCCCGTATTCAAAAAAGAAGGTCGAACAGCCATTTGGAAATTGTAGTGTCACTCCATTTATTTAAAAAAAATATATAATAAAACTAATACTAAGACTAATAAAAAAAAAAAAAACACTTTCTGAAAATTTCAAACACTAACAATTGACATGTCATGCAATCACACGATAGAAAATAATTTTATATTTCATAGCATGCATCCCGGAAACCGCCACTGTTGCACTGTAACAGTGCAAAATGTTTGAATCTCTCAGCGCTGACACAATCGACTGTTCAGGTATCTTCACGCAAACAAAAGAGCGCCGGTGAGTCACGGTGCATTCGTACGGTAACAAGATCCAGTCCATTCATCGCGGAGATTCAGAATGGGCTCCAAGTAAATACAAATAAAAAGAGGCCTCGTTTTTTTTGGCGCATGATGGGCACTGGCTGCGGCAGTAAATCAAACTCTGTTGTTCTTCTTAAGTGTTTTCGTGAATGGCACCACTCCCAGGACAAGTATGAACACATGCTCCTCACATCATCATTCTTGCGCAATGAAGTTGTAAACTGTGCCATGAAGCTTCTCCTCACCTCTCTTTGCTGACTACTTACAGCTCATCGCCATGGCCATGATCGCTATTGGTGTGTACGCCCGCGTCGTCAAGCATGCAGGTAAATCTGTCATGCGATCGGCCCAAATGAACCAAACGGGGGTCACAAAAATCCAACCCGTGATCGACTCGTCCAATAGAGACAGCGTTGGCGTGTCTCGCCGTGGACCCGGCCATGATGCTGCTGGTGGTCGGCGTCCTCATGTTTATCATCACTTTCTGCGGCTGTGTGGGCTCGCTGCGGGAGAACATTTGCCTGCTGCAGTTTGTAGGTTGCCATTTTGGGGATGCAGAAGTTTTCAAGCAAAAGCAGCTCACTCTCTTATTTATTTATTTATTTTTTTCCGCAGTTCTGCATCAGTCTGACTGTCATCTTCCTGCTTCAGTTAGCTGCTGGAGTGCTGGGATTCATCTTTTCTGATAAGGTAAACCGTTTCTTTATTTTATTTTTCTGATTATTGTGGCTTATTTCAGGAGAAATGACCATATTTGGATGTTCTGTCCCAACTGTATGTTTTTATAAAGTACATTATTAGACAGTGCTTATTTTTTTAATTAGAAAACACATTCCGAACATTTTATCGTGGGTTTTTTTTTTGGGGGGGGGGTGTCTGAAATGGGGATTGAATTGTATTTTGGGTCACAAGCGTGGTCAAATTAAACACGAAGGGAAAGGCACCACTGAGATAAAATCAGCAATGTCGCCCTCTGTTGGTCATTTTTATGTTAGCACTTACTACCCCTTTCCTCAAGTGAACATTTTTAAATTGCTGTATAAACCAAAAAAGTACTTTAAAAAACTGATTTCCACAAAACGTGTTTTTTCTATGTCTGTATTTCAATTAATAAAGTTTTCTTTGTCACAGGCCCGTAACAAAGTGACCCAAATGGTCAACAACGCCATCGTGCACTACAGAGATGACATGGACTTGCAAAACCTCATTGACTTTGGCCAGAAAGAAGTCGGTCACTACCTCACACGTCATCATAAAATGTGTTTTTTTAATATCCAGTTAAAAAAAAAATACATATATCTCTCTATCCCTTCAGTTTGGCTGCTGTGGAGCCATGACCTACACTGACTGGTCCAACAACATGTACTTCAACTGCACTGCCAATAATCCCAGCCGGGAACGCTGCTCTGTCCCTTTCTCATGTTGCATCATCACCAAAGACAAGGTTTTATCTCTTCCTCCTCTCTTTTTTTTTTTTTTTTTTTTCGATCGAGTTTTTTTTTTTACCAACTTTCTATGTGTGTGTGTGTGTGTGTGTGCAGGTGGAGGTGATTAACACCATGTGCGGGCAAGGCATGCAGGTCGTGGAATACATTGATGCTAGCAATGTCATCCACACCAACGGATGCATCGACAAGGTGGTGGACTGGATCCACAGTAACCTCTTCCTATTGGGAGGCGTCGCGCTGGGGCTGGCCATCCCTCAGGTGGGGACACCACACTCGTACACACACACACACACACACACACACACACACAAAGAGTGTGCTAACAATGGCAGCCTCTTGCAGTTGGTGGGCATCCTGCTTTCTCAAATGCTCATCAGCCAAATTAAAGACCAGATTGAGCTGCAGAACTACAACCTCAAACATCGCGCCGACCCGTGGAGATGACCAATCAGAGCGACCTGCCTCGCACGTGTGACACCGGCAACAATTTTGACCTCTTCTCTTGACCTTCACGTTATTTTCAATTTTTGTTTTTTGTTTGTTTTTTTTTTGTTTGGGATCCATGATGCTGCATATGTGTAAAAAGGGACGTAAAAGTGATTTTTTTAACAGAAATAATCTCGTTTGGCAATGCCAATGTGATTTCGTCAAGATGCTTTTAATTCCATGTTACATGAGTGTTTTGAAACTTTTTCAGTTTGACATTTTATTTAAATGTTACCTTTGTGTTCCAAACCTGGAAACGTTCTAAGGATAATTCAGTGTTCGGCTGTGCTGCGTCATAACAAAAATACCTTGACTGTAAGTCACTCCAAAGTCACAAAGGCCTGTGCATTTCTTGACTGAATAAACTTGGTGACGAATGTGCTGACATCTTGCCTTGTCGTTATATCATGTGTAAAACGTTGTGTTTTTAAAAGTCAAACTTGAGAGCAGTAGTGATGCAGATTGGTAGAAAAAATAACACCCAACGCTCTCAAATGCTCCGGCGAGCCAATCAAAACACCCCCAACTCGATGTAAACATGACAATTCCATGTTACGCCGACGCTGTTTCGCCACACTCAAGGACTGTTTTGTGTGCGGGTGTGTATGCGTGTGCGCATGCGCGAGAGCGAGAGAGATGGCCGAGGTTTCACTTTGTGTGTGGTCCTGTTTTTTTTTTCTTCTGCGTCTGACTAAAGGAGTCGGTGGAGGTTGTTCGGAGGCCCCCCCCCCCCACACACACACGCACACACACACACACACACACACCGTCCCTCCCAACTCATCAATCGGGATATGTTTTTAAAATTATTTTTATTGACATGTATTTATTTGGCCTTGACTTATCCAGGTAAGGAAATAAAGAACTGACTCTCATTTGCAGTGGCAACCTAAATAAAATGTAATATATATGAAACGGATTTTTGTATTCATAGTTGTTTTTAAATAAAAAAAAACCCTACACAGAAATTAAATGATATTGTCTATGTGTGATATCACTGCCATGAGGCACTTTTTTTTCCTCCCTGTGAGCAGATGGGGGGGGGATGGGAGGTGGGATTTGTGGTGCTGTTGCTACGTGAAAATTCCCCAGCCAAGTTGGAAAACTGAGTGAGGAAGTCTCAGTGAAACAAAAGGACAACATTCGCACGCTTGGAATGAGCAGATAAATAGACGCATTGGTATTTTTACTTAAAAAAGAAGAGGGGATGAGGAAAAGGAGGGGGAGGATGGAAGGTGGGGGTACAGTGCAGGGGGGAAGAAGGGGCTGGCGCATGCGCACTGGCAGTTGGAGCTCCAGTTACACTTTTTCAGATTTTTGTGATGTGGGGGGGAGGGCGAATCCGCAACTTTCTCAACATTTTCCCATTGAATAAACCCCCAACCACTCACTTTTTGTGTCGTCACATTGTCGATTTGGATCATTTTGAACACGTTTTGGAATTTTTATTCACGATGGAATTTGAAGACGAACCAAAGGGGGGAAAGAACGGAGGGTTTCGTGGAGGAAAAACTTTGGATCGTCCTTAAACTTGTGCTCACATTTTGGGATCTTTCATCAAAGAATTGGAACTGGAAACAAAAAAAAACATGGCTTTTGAGCCTCGACAACAATCTCACTATTAAAGCAACCCGATTCAACTTGATCGTCATTTGTTTTTGCAAGATTTAGTCTCTCCGCCGTCCGTGCTCGCACCCCCCACCCCCTCGCCTCCTCCTCTCGTTCCCAAGATGTCCTCCCAAGTTTGGAGCGCCTTTGTTGGCTTGTCCGGGATGCTGTTCGTGCTGGCTGGCTACAGCCTCGCCGTGCAGCTGCCCCACAACGCGACCATATTCGAGGACAAATGCAAGACGATGACGACGTGCGAGGCGCTCAAATACAACACATGCCTGGGCTCTCCTCTGCCGTACACGCACACGTCCCTGGTGCTGGCAGAAGACTCCGATTCCCAGGAAGAGGCTTTCGAGAAGCTGACCATGTGGTCTGGTGAGTTGCAACGACACTAATCACAACCATAGGTCGTCTCTGAATAGATTCTGACGTGTTTTATCAAGAGAAACGACAGAAATACCACTACATCATCGCAGGGTAGGCAAGCGAGGCAGTGCCTCCCCCTGCCGGTCGATGTATGCATGTGACGAGAGAAAAATAACGATTGCATGAAATTGATTCATTTTAGTTGTGTGCTTTCACCGAAAGAGTCACTGCCTAAGTACAGCTCACTGTATTTGAACGTTGGTCATAATTGTAGTACCAGCACAGGACAGTATAAGATGTTATGATGTCATTTCCCAGGTCTGCGGAACGCTCCTCGCTGCTGGTCTGTCATCCAGCCTCTGCTGTGCGCCGTCTACATGCCCAAGTGTGAAAACGGCCGAGTGGAGCTGCCCAGTCAGAGTTTGTGTCTGGCCACGCGTCGCCCTTGCAGCATCGTGGAACAGGAGCGCGGATGGCCCAACTTCCTCAAATGCGAGAAATTCCCAGTGGGCTGCTCGGTAAGCCGAGGGATGACGAGTCCTCAGTTTTTGCCATCCGGATCCCGCTTTTAAGGATCATCTTTGTGTCGCAGAACGAGGTGCAGAAGCTGAAGTTCAACACGTCGGGCCAGTGCGAGGCGCCGCTGGTGAAGACGGACATCCAGTCGAGCTGGTACAAGGACGTGGAAGGCTGCGGCATCCAGTGCGACAACCCGCTGTTCACCAAGGAGGAGCACGACGACATGCACGCCTACATCGCCTACTTTGGCACGATCACCCTCCTCTGCACCTTCTTCACCCTGGTGCGCCTTCTCTTTTCAATTCATTGCTCCAGAGTATCTCAATCAGGCATTAGCAAACTGAATGTCAAGGGCCCTAAGATTGACCCTTGTTTGTCGCCAGGCCACATTTCTGGCCGACTGGAAGAACTCCAACCGCTACCCGGCCGTCATCCTCTTCTACATCAATGCCTGCTTCTTCGTGGGCAGCATCGGATGGTTGGCGCAGTTCCTGGACGGCGCCCGTGACGAGATCGTGTGCAAGAGCGACAAGACCATGAGACTTGGGGAGCCCTCGTAAGATCCCCGCCGAAAGTCCGCCGCAAACGTGCCGGAACGAAATTTTTTTGTTTTGTTTTGCCCGCAGTTCGTCCGAGACCTTATCATGCGTGACCATCTTCATCATCGTGTACTACTCGCTCATGTCGGGAGTGATTTGGTTCGTGATGCTGACGTACGCCTGGCACACGTCCTTCAAGGCGCTCGGCACCACCCAGCAGCCGCTCACCGGGCGCACCTCCTACTTCCACATGCTCACGTGGTCCATCCCCTTCGTCCTCACCGTCGCCATCTTGGCCATCGCGGAGGTACGTCAGGGACGTTCTTATTTTTTGTTTACAAACTAGCGATGTCAAAATGATTCATTTCCTATTTCCATTCGAACTCTGAGGTGGATGGCGACTCGGTGAGCGGGATCTGCTTTGTCGGCTACAAGAACTACAGATACCGCGCCGGTTTCGTGCTGGCGCCCATCGGCGTGGTGCTGGTGGTCGGTGGCTACTTTCTCATTCGAGGTAAGTCCTGCCGTTGTCCCGCCTCTCAACTCAAATATCCGGGTTCAGGCTGAGCGCCTTTTGTTCCTTGTAGGCGTCATGACCTTGTTCTCCATCAAAAGTAACCACCCGGGTCTCCTGAGCGAGAAAGCAGCCAGCAAAATCAACGAGACAATGCTGAGACTTGGTATGCTCCGAACGAACACGTGTGGAGGAATGCAAACAATCTAAAACCAAATCTTTGTCTTTTTTTTTTTTAATTCTTCTCAGGCATATTTGGCTTCTTAGCTTTCGGCTTTGTTTTCATCACATTTGGCTGCCACTTCTATGACTTCTTCAACCAGGCCGAATGGGAGAGGAGCTTCAGGGAATACGTGCTGTATGTTTTGTTTTGTTTTTTTGGGGGGGGGTTCCCCTCACCATGTCCCATTATATGTTCTGTTACCACCTCAAAAAAAGACTTTGCTCCTTCCGTACAACACGGTGACAGATCATAACAGGCGCTTTGATATGACTGACAGATGCGAGGCCAACGTCACCATCGCTTCCGAGACCAACAAGCCGATCCCAGAGTGCACCATTAAGAACCGACCCAGTTTGATGGTGGAGAAAATCAATCTGTTCTCCATGTTCGGCACCGGCATCGCCATGAGCACGTGGGTGTGGACCAAGGCTACCATCCTGATCTGGAAGCGCACCTGGTGCAAGTAAGCGCATGACGCCAAGATCTCGCTCGGTCTCCGCTCGGAGTACCGAATCACGTTTATTTGTTTCCGCCTTCAGGATCATTGGGCGCAGCGACAACGAACCCAAGAGGCTCAAGAAGAGCAAGATGATCGCCAAGGCCTTCGCCATGCGCAAGGAGCTGCACAAGGACCCAGAGAAGGAGCTGTCCTTCAGCATGCACACCTTGTCACATGACGGACCTGTCGGTAAGGACCTGATCCCGGTCCTGAGAAACTATCCAGACGTCCAATCTTGGAAAACGTATGCGTTGTCATTCCTCTAGCCGGGATCAACTTCGACATCAACGAGCCGTCCAATGACATGTCGTCGGCTTGGGCGCAGCACGTGACCAAGATGGTGGCCCGGCGAGGCGCCATCTTGCCTCAGGACGTCTCGGTCACTCCCACAGGAACGCCGGGTGAGAATTTAAGGAGCTTGTTTGATTGTTTGGATAACTTGACACAATAACAACAACAACGCAATGTCATCGTGACAACAAGGCGCTCTAAAGCAGCCAAACCAGCCCAGAGCAGCGGTCCATTTACGTTTTTCTCACGGGGTGGTGCGTGCACTCACGGCCAACGATGAGGCGTTCTGAAGCTAGCTAGCAAATCACTGAGAGAGAGAGAATCTCTCTTGAAGTATTTGTACTTTGTTCCATCCCGCCACTGTTCCCAGCTGACGTATTATGGGTTTCTTCCATAGTTCCACCCCCAGAGGAGAGGAACAGGTTGTGGATGGTGGAGGCTGAAATCTCCCCGGAGATGATAAAGCGAAAGAAGAAGAAGAAGAAAAGAAGGAAGGAGCTGCACGGACCAGCAGAGGAGGCGGCAACGGCAGCGGCGGATCACCGGGCTTTTCCCCAGCGGGAATTTGGCCGTAGCTCGGTGCCCCGCCTCCCCAAACTGCCCTCCCACCCGAGCCTGGTGGCCAACCTGCGGGAGCAGCAGAGGCGACAGCAGATCCTGGAGGACGACGTCCTGCCGGGATCCTATCCTGATTTTCCGCCCTCGCCTGGTGACGAGCGGTGCCGCTTGCCGCCCTTTCAGAGCGCTCGGAGCAGCTCCGGCCGCGGCGTTTTCTCGGATCGCCCGGAAGACCTTGGCCTGGGCCCGCGCTGCCCACCCGGCACCTCCTTCTACGCCCATGAGGGGCTGTCAGAGAGGATGGCGCATGTGGCCAGGGTGCCCGCTGGCCGGCGGGTCGCTTACGGCCCCATCCACTCGAGGACTAACTTGATGGAGGCGGAGCTTATGGACGCCGACTCAGACTTCTAAATTGCACTGACAGCGAGCTAAAGAAAAAAAGTGCTGGATACTTTCGAAACTTAAGTCAACCTATGTTTATTTTTTACAAAGTCTTTTTTTTTTTCATTGTAAGGAAAGGGATAACAAAAAAAAAAATACAAATATAAATATTTTTTTGTACTGCTAAGTCCGATACAACTTCCTTGACAACTTTATGATGGAACACAAATGAGGCAGCTATAAAATAGCTTCAAGGAATAGACTATGTAGATTAATCTGAAAAAAAGAACAGCATCATCGCGTCTTCATGGCAGGTTACCATTAAAGTAGGCGAAACTATTTTGAAAGAATGACTCTGTTTTCTGTACACGTTTACCCTCTCCACACTCACTTTTTAGCCAGTAAATACTGCAAATGTTTATGTACTAACTTTAATCTATGGTGCTTTTTACAATACTGTACACATAATAATAGAAGGAAATAATACACTAGTGTCTTATAAAGATTCAAATATTGTGTTTTTTTTTTATTCTTTCAATTAGCAACATGATTTAAAAAAAATCACACGAAGCACAGAGCAATGTTTGAATTTCTTTGACTGTTTCTTAAATATGAACAGAAATTCCATGTATTTGCATTCTTTTTTTTCACCGTGTCTCTCTTTGTGAGCGTGTAGGTAAGATGTTCATAGATGTCACACAAAGGGTATTATTGTTTGTACAGATTTCTACACATATATAAAACGGTTTGATTTTTCAAAAGAAAAACAAGGGGGTGCGCAAAGAGATTGTACGCCGTTGTCAAAATGTTGTTGCTTGAAGTCATATTTCCTTTTTTTACACACACATGTGCGAATTCTCTATTCTTGTGAGATGTTTATATTTATATTAGTAGCTCTGCTAGTTTCTGAAATTGAATTTAACGTAAAATCACTCCCCACCCCCCAAAAAAGAAACGTCATTTTTTTTGTGGTATTTTCTGACCCTTTTACAGCACCAAGCTCTGTTTTTGTGTGCTTTGAAAAGATTTAACAGCTTTTATTTTTATATATTTGTACATTTGCCTCGCGACTGTTTAAAAAAAAATGTCCCTTTTATGATAGCTGTATCTGTTTGTTTTTACGTGTAAATAAATGTAACCCGACACTCTTGGCCGAATTGCCAGCACTCTTAAGTGATTTTATTCTGTAGTTTAAACTCCTTTCAAAACATTGTAGACACAAATCAATAATTATACTGTTCGCACGTGACAGTTTAAAGTGATGACGATGAATTATCTCTGGGTGGGCGGAGCCAACGTTAACAACATGAAAAACGATATTTTTTTTTATGCTTTTTGAATATTTTTTTCGAATGTAACGCTTGTCTTTTATATAGTTTTTCTTCTGACAAGGCACAAAAAAATATTTGGGAAAAAAAAGCATTTTTAAAAACAAATATATGCCTATTATTTCGTGTTTTTTTTCCAGAACAAACAAGAGTCCGACCAAACTACACAAGCAGGTAAGAAAGAAAACCAGGGTGATTGAAAATATTTTTACTTGATTTATTTTGCAACATTTTCTTCGGTAGTTCGCATCGCCTCCTCCTCTTCCTCCTCCTCTTCCTCCCCACTGATTTGTTGCTTCTTTTTCGTCGCGAAAAACGGCGTGTTGTGGTCAGGGAAGAAACGGGCCGCACGGTTTGGAAATAGAAGGAGGAAAAAACAGAGAGGAAGACTGATGACACCCGACTGAAGGTGGACATGTCCCTCACGAAATCCACGCTTGTGTCTTTTGCAACAGCAGGCGACCAGGACACCCTGAGGAGGAGATCCACGATGGACTCCACGGGTGAGCTTTAACATTTTTTTTTTTTACTTTGCTCCAAGCATTCACAACATATTTAATAATGCCATCGGGGAATTTATAATTAAGCTTTTTATTTTTTATTTTTTTAAGTGGGTGACCTCATGGTTCCGTTTGTGTTTAATCAAAGTCAGCTGTGGAATCAAACCTGGACCGGAATAAGAACTAAATGTAATCTATTTAAACTTTAAATTACCGTGCCATATTTTATTTGGCATATTTATTTATATTTAAATATCACAAACATGAATGTAGTGTTGGGAAGCCCTCGAAGTTGAACGTGATTGACAGATAACCGAGTTGTTGTCATTATCTTTATTTTTTTGGGGGGTGGGGTAAGAAACAATTGTCAGTTTTGTGTTTAAATGTCATAGTGATGTCTTCATATTCTCCCCTTTTTGGCACATAGCAACTTGATTTGTTTGCATGTGTTGCAACAATGCATTGATAATGGGATCAGTCGTAGTGTGTGTGTGTCTGTGTGTGTGTGTGTGTGTGTGAGTGTGTGTGTGTGTGTGTGTGTGTGTCATGCATGTCTCTCAGGAGGTTGCTGTTAGTCACACCCATTTGGATGATACCCACACCCATTGGTGACCGTTAGGCCTTCCATATTTCCTCCCCTCGGTCCAGAGAACTACGATGCGGAGCCAAATGGCCCGTTTTCACGGATACCGCCCCAAAGCGAGTGCCTCTGCGTCGGGCCGCAGCACCCGGAGCTCGTCGTCAACGCCGCCGAGACCCCCTCTCCCGACTCGTCCTCCAACCATTTCTGCCACTACACGCCCAAGTGTTTCCTACCCGTGCACAGAGGTGACGTATGCCGCGCTATCACGTTGACGTTGGGACAAATCTTGACATCAATGTTTTTTTTTTTGTTTTTAATTTATGCAGCTCGCACAGGAGCACACGGCAACTCGGCACGCTCCACGCCGTCGTGCTACGGCGAGGAAGGTTGGCATGAAAGCACCTTGAAAACCACCATCAGGGCTGAGAATGAGGTGGAGGCGCACAGGGAAGCCAACAACTACAAGGTAAGCGGCTCTTTGTGTCACCGCAGTATTTTAAAGGCAACCTTTCGATTAAAAAAAAAAAACGAAAAAAAAATTCTTATTTTGTAGTTTGGCTTCCGAAAATGGAAAGGCAATGTCACAGAGAGACCCATCGAGGACCGATCAGATGTGGTCAAGGAGCTCTACTCGGACCTCAGCATCGTCAAGCCTCAAGAAGGTCCTTTGAATTTATTCACCAAAATCTGATGCAATCCAATTTAAGAGCTTTAGCGGCAAAAATAAAACAAAACAGACAAGCTGTCCATTGGTGTATTTCAGGTTCTGTGGTGACCTTGGGGAACGTTGTTTATGTGATTTTATTCGGCTGGTGGATTTCTTTAACCTACGTCGTCATTTGTCCTGTGATGTTTCTGACAATAATCGCTGCCCCTTATGGTTGGTATTGTCTATTCCGGGCAGCAAGTTGTATATTTGAGAGGCATTCATCATGTCTGTAAATTATTATTATTTTTTTATTATTTTTTTGAAGGAAAACTGTGCCTAAAGTTGGCCTGGTACTTTATTTGGCCCTTTGGGAAATCGGTGGAAAAGGTAAAATGCTGGCAAGTCTCTCGAAATTTCCACGGGTGTTGATGTGCCACGATCCGCATCAGGCATGTTTTCCTAATCTCAGGCTGCTGACTTGACAAAAAGATCCACGATGAAGCCGCCGAGGTGCGAGGTCATTCCGGAAGAGAGGGACTCCGAGGACGGCAAGGACGCGGTCATGGGAAAGGACTCGCGGCCTCTTCTGATGTCGTCCCCTTTGCCCGTTGAGTTGCCTTTGCCGGAAGTAACCGTTCGGACCGGGTCGAAACACTGGGTGAGGACACAGACGGACAATTTACATTTTATGCACGGACCGGCGAACTACATCACCAAATACGTTCTCATTCTTTGGCGCCCATGTCACTCACCGGTGCCTTATAAAGCCACACGCATTCAAAGTCACAGATACAGCAATGGGAAATGTGAGGGTGGCGAGCCCACCTGGACGCAAGTAAAACACATTTTGTGTCGGTATCGTCGTAATCATCAATTCCGATTGAATTTCAGTGTCGCGCCAACACCTACGTGTGGCTGCTCCTCGGCTATCCCGTCCTGGCGGCGGTGCACGCGCTAGCCTGCGTCATCTCCTGGCTGCTGGTGTTCACCATCCCCGTCTCCAAGATGAACACCCGCGCGCTCGCCATCATCCTCCTCATGGCGCCCGAGGATGTACACGTACACGCTCTGGAAAAGGTGAAGCGGGAAATTCCCGATCGTCGCGTATACGAGTCGGTACGATTGTCACGCTGTGGTTTTTTTCCAGACGCATCGGTGCGAAGCGAGAGTCATCCTGTGCTGCTACCGTGCCGTCAACGTCTATTACTACAAATACACCGTGCAAGGGATCAACATCTTTGCACTAAGTATCCTTTTGGGAAGGGTCTTATGAAAATTTAGCGGCTTCGTTTTTATGCTCCTGACGTTCTCGTACAGATCTCCTCCCCTTGGTGATAATCACATTGATTATCGGCTACACTGACCAGAACCATAAATACTTCAGTTCGGAGACCAAGTTCGCCACGGCCATCACGTCCATCATCCCGCTGTCATACTACATCGGAATGGGCATCGCCAGGTAACGAAGCGTAAATTGCATCAACGCATTTTTGAGCCGAACAGATTTATATTCCCAAAAATCCAACCGAATGTTTTTGTGCAGCATTTCGGCTCAGAGCAACTTCGCCGTGGGCGCGGTGGTGAACGCCACGTTCGGCTCCATCACCGAGATGACCTTCTACATCACGGCGCTCCTGCGGGGCCACCGGGCCGCCTCCAAGTGCTACGAGGAAGTCGTCAAGGCCGCCCTCACCGGCACGCTGCTGGGCTGCATCCTCTTCATACCCGTGGGCGTTCCGACCGGACTGTGATTGTCGTCTCGTGGTCATGTGAATGAAGGTATCATGTCACCCGCACAGGGCATCTGCATGATCATTGGTGGCATTAAACACCGGGAGCAGAGATTTAACAGCCGCTCGGCCGGCGTGAGCTCGGCTTTGCTCTTCATATCCGTAGGAGGTTTGTGTCGAAAATCACCATGTCGTACATTTCTTTTCTGTGAAGGGCAAAAGCAGCTTTTTTTTTTTTTTTTTTTTAATCCCTCAGGTGTTTTTGCTCCCACCCTGTTCTCCAAGACCTTCGGCAGCCTGATGTGCGAGAGCTGCTCCAACATTCCCGGCAATGCCAGCGTGCCCTTCGTGTGCAAAAACTGTCACTACGACATGGTCGGCCGCCGGTGATTCTTCAACCGAATGCTTCTTCAAAAATTCGCCGTCTTACTTTTTCGTCTTTTGTTGCAGAGTAAAACCGACTCCCAGTTGGTTATGATGCATATAGAGTAAGTCGACATGCTGCAGTTGCAAGGAGGAGAATGTGAACGCTTGGAGATGACCTAGTTTTTGCATAAATGGGTCGGAAAATATTGTCCGATGTTTACCGAAGTCATGACAATAAGACGAAAAAAAATGAAGGTCCAATCAATGTGACAAGATTGGAGCTATTACTTACTGGAATCTCTGACACATGCCAGGCTATAACATCACAAATGACAAATCTACAATAACTAAAACATCAAACAATAATGCATGTTATTTCTGTCCACAAAATATTGGTTCCGCAGACGTAGTAACAAAATATTGTGGAAATGAAATTGAAATTGAGCTGATTAAAACGTCATCCCAAATTGGGGCATTGTAAAGTGCTATATTGTTTGGGGCTGCTTGTATCCTCAGGACCTGGACGTATCGAAATAATTGACTTTTTTTTAATAATTATTATTATTATTTTTTGTGTGTGTGTGCACATAAAACTGTGGTTGGAACTAACACACGATGATGAATGTCAATATGACACCAGGCCCCTGGTGTACACCATCTCCGTGCTGCTGCCCGCCGCCTATCTCATCGGCCTGGTCTTCACGCTGAAAACCCACTCGCACATCTACGACATCCATATAAGCGACGGCCAAGGCGGCTCCGCCCACGGTCAGTACGCGGTCGACGCGGGGGCCGCCACCGCCGCCACCGCCTTCCGCCGCGAGGGCGACGCTGGCCCGCTCTTCGCCGTCAACTCTTGCATTAATACCAGCGTTGTCCCCCCCAGCCATGTTGTCACAGGTGTGTTATTTTTTTTTTTAATCCTTGTTTATGCATGTGGGTCACAAAAAAAAAAAAGCATGCAAGTTTAAAAGCAAATGTGGCTAAGTAAGGCCTCGGATCACAGCGTCCATGCGTCACGCAGGTCACCATGTGCTCCACTGGTCACGCTGGAGGGCACTCGCCGTGCTCGTCGCGGCCACGGCGCTGATGGCCTGCTGCGCCGATCTCAGCACCAACAACATCGAGCCCATGCTGACGAACTCCTCCATCTCCCAGGTGCTTAAAAAAAAAAAAAATCTGCCTTTTTGTTTCACATCGTGACCTTCTTTGGCGCCACCTTCAGTACTTCATCGGCGTGACGGTGTTGGCGATGGTTCCCGAGCTTCCCGAAATCGTCAACGGGATCCAGTTTGCGCTGCAGAATAACATCAGTTTGAGGTATTTCGCTCGTCACACGCATAACAAGTTCCATCAACATGCGTCATACTTTTTTTTTTTTTTTTGCGTGTCCCAGTCTGGAAGTGGGCAGCTGCATTGCCGTGCAGGTTTGCATGATTCAGATCCCGCTACTTATCCTATTCAACGCGTTCTACGTAAGTTCAAATTCCCTCTTTGACGATATCTGGGACAAGATCTGTCGTCCGCAGTCGTGCTTTTAATGCGTTGGCGATTTGTGGACAGGATGTGGGATTTACGTTGCTGTTCAGTGACATCCATCTCTGGGCAAGCATCTTCAGTGTCATTCTGGTCAACTATATCTTCATGGATGGGAAGTGTGACTACTTTCAGGGTGAGTCCGATTTTATTTTTTTTATTTTGGGGGGAGGGCGGGATCAGTTTTTATGAAGGAATATTAAAACGTGTTTTTATTTTTTGTAGGCACTGCTCTGGTGGTGGTTTACCTCATCCTTTTGGCTCTTTATTTCTTTGCTCCGTCGCCACGCTCTTGTTAAGTTAAAAAAAAATAAAATAAAATCCAGTATATTTTTGTGAGCATGCAGGGACTTAAGAATTTGTAATTTTGAAAGCATCTTGCCTTTACATTTCTACGTCGATATTTATTCTCGCTTCTTTGTAAAAAAAAAATGTCAATAAATTCCATTTATTATTCTTCGTGCAGTACTCGTCGATTGATTTAGCCGAGCCAAGAAATTCTCAACCCGCCTCCCCTCAAATTAACAAAAACTTCAAAAGGTCAGAGAAGGCGTTCAACTTTATTCACGGAAAGGCTTTTTAAAAATGAGAGAGCACCAAATTCACAGTGACGTGACTTTTTAAATTCCCCGTCGTGACCAATGGATATTTTTTTAAGTCCCTCTCTCTCGGGGGACATGATTATGGCAAAAAAAAAAAAGAACATCGTTCAATAACAGTTGTCTTGCAGAGGAAGCGAACTTTTTGGATGACAGTTACATAACGTGACAGTCAACAAATGAGCAAAAGAAAGACATATCACTTTTAAAAACTAAAAATCGATGCAAGATGGCGTGTCCAAATAAAGTCCTTCCAATAAATATACACGGTCCATCCTTTGCACAGTCTTTAAAATATTACAAGCGTTAATACATTATTGAATTATGTTTTTTTAAATTTGAGAAGCAAATCATTTCCAACCGCTGATGACGAGCAAAAAAAAAAAAAAAAAGGGGGGGGTGTCGGCTCCAGGATGGCACATAAAAGAAATTCCTAAATTTCAGCATGATCATATTGAGTCCTCCCTTCCACCCCTTCAAAAAAAAAAAGTGGAATGAGGCAAAACAAGGCATCTCAGTTTTTGGCAAAAGGAGCAAAGAGTCCTCGCACGTGTGCGTTGGCGTTCCGAGTCTTGTCATTTCAAGCGCTCGATGAGTTCCTGTGTGAGGCCGAGGTTGAGCAGCTGCACGGTGGGCAGGTTGGCGAGGTGGGGGAACGCTTGGAGGAGCCTCTCCCAGCAACGCTCCAGCAAGCTGGGCACGGCCAGCCAGATCTTGAAGAGCGATCCGGTCCTCTTGTTCTCGTGGATGTTCACCACACCGCCGTGGATGTACATGCAGCCCGTCTGTCCGGAAAAGACCCCCCCCCCAAAAAAAAGTATAGCTTTTATAAAGAATGGAATACCCGGAAATTCTGCCTAGCAACAAGTGACTACTGCTTCTGTTTATCTGTTTGTGTACAATTGCCGCTTCCCTTCTCTCTCTTTTTTTTTTTTTTTTTTTTTTTTTTTAAAGACAAGTCGAGCGTCATACCCACCGGTGTAACGGCGGCGCAGTGAAAGTAAGCCGGCTCGGGCATCACGGCGGGCAATCTGCTCCACTGGAACGTGCGCAGGTTGATCTTCCACAGGTCAGCCAAGATGAACTCGCCGTTGTAGCCGCCGCAAATAAATACATCTAGGAGGGGAGTCGAACGGGCCACATGCGACAGTCTCTTGATTCAAATCGATCGGGGTAATTTTTTGGGAAAAGTACTGACCATTTCTTATTTGGACACAACTGTGACATCTTCTAGGAGCGGGAAAGCCTATGAGAATCCCACATGGTTCAAATACAAAAAAACGTCTCCCGTCAAAATCGTGTTACAATAGGACACAAACCTATTTGGTCGTGAGGTTTGGTTGCAATCTCCTCCCAGGAATTGGTCTCCAGGTTGTATGCGTGAATCTGTTACACAATTCATCCAATCAATAGCTCTCAGATTTTATTTTCTTCTTTTTTTTTTTCTCCGCAGGTACCTTGTCCAGAGGGTAAGACGTCCAGGACGTCCCTCCTCCCAAAATGTAGATCCTCTGTCCGTCCTGTGCTATTTCATGTCTGTACCTATAACGGCAGCGCGTCGTCTGTTTCTTAACCCTGACTCGCGGTGCGGTTGGTTGTTTGAGAACATTTGAAAACGGTACCGTTCCTCGGGTAGGTCATCTCGAGGGTTGTTGGGCTTGAGGTGGATCCACTCTCTGGTGGTCAGGTCCAGCCTGTGCAGGTCTGTGCTGTATATGTACCCCGTTGTTCCCCCAAACACGTAGAGAAAGCCATTTATGATGACCATCGCCTGGATCGGGGGATGACAAAATTGTTCAAGCTCGATCAATTCGCCTCACAGATTGTCAGGGTTGCAATAGTCGGAAGCTACCTGTCCGTAAATTCTCTTGGGCTTCTTCCCGCGACAGTTAAGCAGGGACCATCGCTTGTACTTGACATTGCAAACGTGAACGTCGTTGCCGTTGTTCTCCCCGAAGGGGATCCCCGTGCCGCCAAACACCAGCAGATTGTTACCGTGCAACACGGCTGCAGTGAGGAAACTGTGCTAAATGTTGACATGTTGATTTTTTTTTCCCTTTAGAGCGCAAGTATAAAATTTAATTCAACACAATGACAAAATCTTGGAATTGTGATGAACGTGTTTTATCTTAGCATTTTATCAGCATCCCGTTCGAATACAGGATCTAGCAGACGATTCACCTGACATGGAGGCCAACTCTGTGGGCACGTAACCCTCGGTTTGAATCTGCTGCCATCGCCCCGTGGCGAAGTGGTACCTCCACAGCTCCCGGAACAGCGGGTAGTCCTCGTTCTCCGAGCCGCCCGACTCATCATAGTCCGGGTTGTACCCGCCGAAGACGTAGAGGTTGGTGTCGTCTGCCACGCAGCGGTGGCCACTGCGGGCTGGGGGCGTACGACGACCTGAGGAGAAAAGAGATGAACGCACAGGATGACTGAAATGCATTGCACATTCATCAGGATGCTTTTGTTTTGATTGACACTGACAGGGGCTGGTCAAGATCAGGTGTACCTAATGAAGTGACCAGGAGTACATTGTCACCTGGAAATTTGAAAATGACGTTTTGCTCCAGGAATAACAGTGAACTACCTTAATAGATCTCAACGTAGATGGATGGGGTCATGTCACTTTGAAACAAACTTACAAAAAAAAAAAAAAAACGTTTTCACCAAATAAAAATAAAGACGTCGGTTAATATGTAGGTGCTAGCTTAGCTCAAATCAGACTGGCGGGCTAAGTTTTTAATAAATAGCAGTGAAATGCATGGCTGTGCGGTCTTTGTCAGACAACCAGTGACAGCAGTGAGGTAGCCATAATTAGCATGCGTGCTAATGTTGTGTCGATCGATCTGCGATCTGTGAGCGTCTGCTCACCGTGCAGCGGCCTGCCGGTCAGCTTCTCGAATTTATTCAACTGGTCCGGACAGCGATCGCCGTGGGCGTCCGTCATCTTGTCCCAGTTTTAGCGCGGCCTCTCCCACAACATCACAACGAGGAAAAACAGCTGCTCCCAAAGTGCTCGGTGGACATGATGGTAAATGGTAGCGGCGCAGCCCCAGAAGGTTTGAAGGCAGACACTCATCTTTCGCCAGGGCCTTGGCCAATCAGCGGACGCGTTCTTGGATCGCTGCGTCTTTGGAGGTGGGCGGGGCCAATGGCCTTCAAAACAAGTTATTCTTGCCTTGTCCGAACTTGAACAAGTTTCAGTCCTCATTGCTCAGACAATTCAGCGCCGTCAAAAGAACGACTGGCTTGCCGCTATGTGTTTGCTGTCATGAGTGCCACTTTTGGCCCACGAGCACGCAAAGAAACGACCGCTCTTCCGCGTCCCTTTTGAAGCAATTCCTGACTCGCATCTTTTTTTTTTCCAACTGACATGAAACACATTAAAAGAAAAGTGCTAAAATCAACATTCAAGTCTTGTTTTCTTAATGCGTATACCTGCTTTGGTCAAATGTTTGTTTACAAATGTCCTTACCACCTTCCTCATTTTCGAATTACTGTAATTCATCTTCACAGCAGTGTTGCTAGGTGGCGCTAATGCGCCTAAAAGCTACTTGCCAAACGCCAGTAATAGAAGAAGAAGACGAAGAAGCCCAACATGGCGGCTCTTGGTAGCAGTCGTGGTGATCGCCACGGCAACTCGAGTCAAAACAAATCTCCCCTCACGTCTCCGGAGAAAATCCGCGAGCTGCTCAACGAGGGGGTCTCGGCAGCCGACACGGGCACCCACTGGTGGGTTAAAATAGCAACTTTGATCCGGATTTTAAGACTTAGTTGTGCAGCATTTTGGCTAATCTTCCTAGCTAACTTGGAAGCATGGCAGCTTTGGAATACAGTAAGGAGCACGAAGAGAGGCGTTTCTCAGATATGAGAGCTTGCGGGCTGTCTGTCATCTGTCTCACATTTTGTGCACGCATTATCTCCTCCTCCTCTTGCACGAAGCCCGTGTTGCTAGATTCTTCATGTTCTCTCCCCTGTAATACTGTAAATTACAAGGGAGTCGGGAATGACAGATAAAGGCAGTCACTGATGTCTAAAATGAGATTAGAAGACAAGAACCGTTTCTCTTTGGTATACTCGAAGCATGCATTCGTTTGGTATTGACAAATGTATGAATTATTTTAATTGCATTGTGTGTTTTTATGATGGCAGTGGACAAGGCGATTCTAAAGACCCAGAAGTCAGTAGCAACACTCCATCTCCTTGTGAGGCAACCAACAAAGAGGCCTTTTTCAGTCGAGTGCAATCATACTCGATATCCTTTCGTTGTCCTAAGATTACAGTTTTATGCATTATGTCAGTCGTCATTGTATCCGGATTCCTTAGCCCAGCACTGTTTGAAATGGGCCGGCAAGCCCCGCGCGCTCTCCCCTCTCATGTGCGCCCGCTACGGCTGGATCAACATCGCCCACGACATGCTCAAGTGCTCCAGCTGCCAAGCCTTCCTCTGCGCGTCGCTCCAACTCACGTTGGACTTTGACAAATGTAAGCTGAGCGGGCTCATAAATAAGCCAAGCTTGAATTCAGAGCTTGCATGTGTGACCCTTTTCTCCCTTCAACTAGATGAATCCCGCATCTCAGAGCTGTCCAGGCAGCTCCAGACGAAACATGAGAAATTTTGTCCCTGGCCTGACTTTCCTTGTCCAGGTGAGAACACTTGACTTTTTCGAGAACCTTTGAATGCGCCATTTTCGTCACAACGTTTTCCCATTTCAGAGCGGTTGTGGATTGTGACAGCCGGGGAGCCTTCAGCACTTCTGACCGCTTTCATCGAGCGTTATCAGAGTGCATGTGAGCTTGGACAGCAGCTCCCATCAATGAAGCCTGAGCTGCTGAAATCAATGGTGAGGAAGCCCAGACTCGCAAAGAAATAATGATCCGGAAATGTCCGATGTTTCAACCAAGTGTCTTTCGTACCTTTGCAGTCATTGACCGAGGATGTCATTAGTGTTATCCTTCAGCTGATCGAGGAGGAACAAAAAAGAAAGGGAACCGCGTGCTCGGAACCTTTTGCAGTCCAAGTGGCAGCGTGCATCGTTTCTCTCTGTGGCTGGGCTGCAAAGTGAGCTGCTCGTGCTTGTTGATGAGTCAAAAGCAATTCTTTTTCAACATTTGTTTTTTGTTCCATCAGCCCAGGTGAGCCCATCGCGACGCTGCCCATCCTCAACTGCTCCTACTGTATGCGTAAAGTGGGCCTGTGGAATTTCCATCAAATGGAAGTCGTGGGTGGTAACGGAGATGCCGGCACGGAGCCTACAAGCGCTCCCGCCGCCCCGGCTCCCCCTCAGGAGGGCCAGGGGGAACAGACAACTCCTTCCTCACCCACACCTCCGTCCACTCCGAGTCGCATGAAGCTGAGGAGCCAAGACTCTTGCCGCTCTGACCAGGCAAGCTTTCATTGAATTCCCATGAATGGATAATCTCATGCAGGGTATCGAATCATCACTTTCTGACCCATCCTGCAGGGTGAGGGCACTCCAATAGCTTTGCGAGCCCGGAGTCGAGACTCGCCCAGTCCTGTTGAAGAGCCGCCAAGTCCCTTGATGAAGGGCAAGAGGCCTGCGACTCGTAGCCGTGGGCAAGGCGACAGTCTGTCCCTTCCTTCCAAACGCCTGTGCCTCTCATTAGCTGTAAGTGTCCCTCACCCCCACCCCACCCTCCCAAATTGCATTAAATGACTCGCTCGCTCTTTTAGGACGAGGTCGTGCACAAGAATGCATTTGACCCGCTGGCTCAGCACAGAGACTGGTGTCCCTGGGTGGCCTTTGGAAAGGAGAATGTGGATCCCCAGGCCACGCCCCTTTCAGAGCCCGTGCCAGCGCCTCATCAGCAAGGCTGGAAGGCCGTCCTTGACCTCCTCATGCCGGCGAAGAACACAAACGCAGCATCTGGCAGTCCAGCACAGGCAAGTTGAAGTGTCCCAAGATGACTTGGCGCATCATCTGACACTCTCTTCTTTTGTCTTGTTCACCCAGGGCCCTCCTGATCGATCCAAAAGGGTGTTTGCTATATTCCGTCAGTGGCAGATATCCGCTCCATCTCAGTAAAACGCGTCAATTCCAACATTGCACCACTGGACTGAAGATATGAGCAATAGTATCACGTCCCATTGCTCTGTGGAGGAAGACCAATAAATCTCTTCTGAATATCTGGGATACCGGCATATCATGTTTGATACGACTCCGTGATGTGTGCGAAAATATGTGGAAGATAGGAAATCCCTGACGATGAGAAAGAGAGCCAGACCGGCTCCACACTGGATAAGCAATGTTTACTTTTCGCGTGTGTTGAGACAGTGTTAGAATCCCACCACAAATCCACAACTAGTGACTGTGTGTGTGTGACTGAGTGAGAGAACTTAACTCCGGATGATGGCCGGTTGGTATAAATTGTGTGCCATGAACATGGAAAATGTTTGGACTTAGCTGCCTTGATTTTGTATTTGCCTTCTTGTGACATCACATTGCTTATCTAGTCTTCACTCTCATGCATGTGTTGTTAATAAAATGGTCCCCTGAAATGTTGTGTGATGGTCAAATTTCTTATAAATCTTTAAGAAAGGGATTGGAATGAGATGAGAACAGTCAAAATAAATGGATACATTTTAATGAACCAATCATGGGGGAGTGGAATTAGCATCTAAATTAGTCTGTAAGACAAGTAGTTCCAAACACACAACGGTCCTCCAAGTTCTTGAGTGAAGTCTGTTTTTGCCCCCTCCAGGTTGCCCGGTGTAACTTAAAGGTGAGCAGTTCCTGAGGTCTGGTCTCTGTCGTGAGACCTTCTCGAAAGACAGAAGATGCAGGATGAATTGTGTTATGTTGCATTGACCCCACACCAAGCGTCCATCCACATTCATCAAGTTTCTGTCATTGGAGGAGTCACTGCAGCCTTGCATTCTTATTTTTTTTTGCTGAATAAAGTTGAAGTGCAAAGTTGAACCTTCGTCTCTTTTCATGTGTCGCGGTGATATCATCAAATAACCACATTGGCTGAATCCTGCCCTCTGTTATCAAAATGAAGCCTGGAAGAACAAACTCAAAAGAGACAATAAGCCCCACATCTCAACCTGGTGTGCTGGTGAATTTGAATCGTCATCTACTTACAACGAAATTAATGTGAAGTGCATGAAGCAGGCTGGAGGTGGTCATCAGTCATGGAGCTGGAGTGAGGGATAGTTGCTGTACCTGGATTCTCACTTAGAGTGCAATACCACACTTCACCAGTTGTCGTGCTATTTTATCGAATACTAATACATATATTTTTTTGCGATTTTTCCGGCCAAATAGCCGAATGGTTAAAAATTCGCTTGCGGTACGGACGGCCCTGGTTCGAATCCCACTCGACGCCATCCGAATTGGCAAGAAATGGAGAAATTGCAAGCGGAGCAGAAAGGGAAACTCGAACCCGTGACCATCTGAATGGCACGTCTAGTCTTTAACCACTCGACTAGACCGGAGCTTACGTCATAGCTCCTTTTTCGGCAACCCAAATAGATCTAATTATTATTACAATATTCACTGAGCTGTGCCGATGATGGTAAATACAACCAAAAATGCAATCTTCAGCATGACAATAATAGTCGAGTGGTTAAAGAGTCAGCGTCTGGCTTGGCAGTCTCGTGTTCTATCCCAACACAGTTCTAACTTTCAAAGATTGAAAATTGTTTTCTCTCCTCGTTTAAAATGACCGGCTCACACGAACGGTCGTGAAGAAACTTGTTTCTCCCCGCCGCTTTTTTTTTAATCATTTTATTTTTTGGAGATGACGTCACGCCGGAAACGTATAAAAGGCGAGGCTCATGAGCCTCTTTCTTGGGCCGCCAGACTGACAGCAGCACGTCGACTGAAGCCGCCTGCCGAGTTCCCACAAAGACCATCCGAAACTTCTTGCCAAGGAAGACGAGAGGAGCCCGGCCGTCTGCTGAAAATCCTTAATTCGCCTCTTCAAATTCAATCGACTGCTTTTTGGTAACTTTGCACCCCGACGGGTGTTGCTTTTGGCGTGCCTAACACCCGGTAAGGAAACTAGCCTAAAATGTTTGCTCCGTGCTGAACGATTAACGTCAACTGCAATCTTGAGAGGAAAAAAAACACTTTTATTTGACGTGAGCAAGAACTAATGGCAGACCTTCTTCCCAGCTCTCAAATTCCAACCCAGCGTGTGAACAAGAGGAGGTAAAGCGCCAACGGTTTGCATGCATCTCGATGAAACACAGTCGACGGCATTTGCATATACATGCGTGCTAATTGTCCTCTCTCTTTCTCTCTCCGCAGGCTCTTCTTCAAATCGACCTGAAACGGCGTATTCAAGGTTAACGTACAGACTATTGGTAATTGAAAGCAAATGGCGCAACTTTACCTGATTGTCACATTTGTGTCTGCAGGCCTGCATCGTCACCAAGTGGACCCCAAAATGGCTGACATCCTCTGCGTCATTTTGGGCAAGAAGCAAAGCTAACTATATTCTTACCTTGTCTTTCAGGCCGTCGCCGAGGTGTCCAACGCTCCTCGTCACTGGTGAGACAAACGCACACACCTGCATACGTGTATCAGTTGAACATGTTATACTCAAATGGCATGTACCTTGTTTGTTCGAGACCTGAGTCAGGTAAGGGACACCTGAAGTCAATCAAGTCTTTTACTCACTTTTTCTTGTCTGCAGTAAAGATGGCCTGTTTGAGCGAGGGACCCAAGATGCACCAAGTCAGCATTTTAAACTTGGATGCGCTGCAGGTTTTTCTAATGCTCACTCATGTCCGCTAGGCGGCGCCAGAGCACTTCTGGCCAAGTACTTGATGCTGAAGTCGGCTACAAACAAGGGTTTGAAAAGAACATTTTTGTGTGCAGGGCTGGCTTCCGGGACGACCGCGCCACAAAGATCATCCTGCACCTGCTGGGTTCGTCGGACAAAAAAAATATTGCAGAAGGTCTTCAATGTTGATGTGCTAATAAAGCTACTGATTAGCTTAATTTTTTTTTTTCTCCTCTCTCCTCAGGTGTGACTTCAAAAACCGGATGGACATGGACTGAGGTGAGACTTCAGAAGGGAAGCGTTTTTGGCTTGGCAGACTCCAGGATGACTCTGTTTGTTTTTTGCTGTACTGCAGAACGGGCACTCATGAGACTTCCAGGGCCTTGACCCGCTTCCGGCCAGAGGCTCCTCAAGCACTTTTTCCAGTTCAACCTCATCCGTTGCTGTCAGGTTTCCACACTGCCGTGAATCTCCAAATATTGGAGGAGCTCAGTCCACTTGGATGTTCTTTTGGTCGTTGCAGGTGGCAGTCACGATGGCGCAATCAGTCCTACAAATTGACTCTCTTTTGAACCCTTCCTACTCAACACACCTGATTGTTTCAAGCCTCGACAGGACTTGCTGATAATTTGAATCAGGTGTGTTGCAGTAGGGAGGAATCGAAAAACAGGCAAGATGTGTCTCTCAAGGAACCGGAGTTCCTTACCCCTGCGCTACAGGATCGGCAGAGTGCAGATTAGCTAAGAACCATGCAGAGGGAATAAAAAATGTCAGTTTTTGTTTTCAGGCCCAGGACGGACCGCAATAAAGTACCTGAAAACAAGCATGCCGTCGTGTCATCCATAAGGTGATGAAGCCAAACTTGGTGGTAACCTGAGAAGAGGCGCAACACAATCACACAGCAGTACATTTGTGACCCCGGCTGGGCTCTTGAATTTGTCTCATTTCTCCACAGGTGCCTTTGAAATCCTGACACCTCAGTTCCAGAAAGTCACTTGTCCACGGCTTTCATGGCCTGTCAAACATTTGCTGCACGACAAGTTGAGTTCTTCTTCCCCCCCCTTTTTTTTAAGTTAGTTTTTGTTTTCAGGTCCAGGATGGAGCACAATAAAGTACCTGAAAACGAGCACGCCAGTCTGAGCGTCGCGTCATCAAAAAGGTGATGAAGCCCAACTTGGCAGCAGCCTGAGAAAGAAGCACAACACAGTGTATTTGTGACCTGGCTGAGCTCTTGAGTTTGTCTCATTCCTCCTCAGGTGGCTGTGAATTCCTGACACCTCAGTCCCAGAAAAAGTCACTCGTCAAACATTTGCTGCACAATGAATTGAGGTAATTTTTTTTTTAACTTGCATCAGGTACACTCGGATCCCAATGGCCAACCAATTAACCATGCATCAGAGACTGCTGTCCAAGTGTCTCAACTTGTTTGCAACTTGAGATTCATTCAGCAAAAGAAATAAAAGCAAAAACTGTCTGCCGAATGGGGGGTGGGGGAAGAAATTTTTTTTTTTTGTTTTCAGGTCTGGGACGGAGTGCAATGAAGTACCTGAAAATGAGCGCGCCAGTCTGAGCGTCGCATCATCCACAAGGTGATGAAGCCCAACTTAGCAGCAGCCTGAGAAGAAGCACAACACAATTGCACAGTACATTCATGACCCCATCTGGGCTCTTGAATTTGTCTCCTTTCTCCACAGATGCCCTTGAATTCCTGACACCTCAGTCCCAGAAAAAAAATCATTCATCCGCAGCTTTCATCACCTGTCAAACATTTGCTGCACAACAAATTGAGGTAATTTTTTTATTTTTTTTTTACTTAAATCAGGTCCACTCTGATCCCAATAGCCAACCAATTCACCATGCATCAGAGATTGCTGTCCAGGTGTCTCAACTTGTTTGCAACTTGAGATTCATTCAGCAAAAGAAATACAAGCAAAATTTGCCTGTGGGGGGAGTGGGAGAAGAGTCTTTTTTTTTCTTTTTTGTTTTGTTTTCAGGTCCAGGACGGAGCACAAAGTACCTGAAAACGAGCGCGTCAGTCTGAGCGTCGCGTCATCCACAAGGTGATGAAGCCCAACTTGGCAGCAGCCTGAGAAGAAGCACAACACAATTGCACGGTGCATTTGTGACCTGGCTGGGCTCTTGAATTTCTCATTCTTCCACAGGTGGTTGTGAAATCCTGACACCTCAGTCCCAGAAATAAAGTCACTCGTCTGGGGCTTTCATCACCTGCCAAACATTTGCTGCACAACAAGTTGAGGTAACTTTTTTTTTAATCCAGGTACACTTGGATCCCAAGGGCCAACCAACCACTTCACCATGCAGCACCACTTGTCAAGCTGTCCAATTTGTCACTTGTTTGCAACTTGAGATTTATTCTACAAAAGAAATAAAAACTTAACAAAACTTGTTTAAACTCTGCTCATTCTTTAAAAGAATCACAAATCTTTTGAAAGTTTTATTTTGTTTGAGTTTCATCTTTTTCAAATTTATTTTTCAAAAAAATTTTCTAAAATTTTATTTCTAAATTTTTTTTCAAAAAATTTTTTTTCAAAAATTTTTTTTTAAAATTCAAAATGGGTGTGGTCAAGCTATGCAAATTATTTGATTGAAGGGGGCGTATGTAGATTTCGGCTCCGTGATTGGCTGTTGGTACAGGGCGTGATTATGCAAATTTAGTGGGGGGGCTTGTTGATGAGATGGTGGGCGTGTCTATGCAAATAAAGCAGCGCTGATTGGTCGGTGTATCGGAAAGGGGCGTGGTTATGCAAATTAACGCCCATTCATTGGTCGGTTTTAGATAATGGGCGGGGCTACGCAAATCGGATTTCTATGATTGGTCAGGTCACCGCAATGTAAATTGAGTGGGCGTATTGGCGGGAGTGGGCGTGGTCGCGTGTAGCTAGTGGGCGTGGTTATGTAAATTAGATGGATGTGATTGGCTATGTAAATTTAGTGGGCGTGGTTATGCAAATTATCCATCTGCCATTGGTCATTTCTGAGCGGTGGGTGAGGTTATGTAAATTAGATGTGTGCGGGTGTGGTCACGTAAATATTGTGGGCGTGGTTATGCAAATCACCAGGATGTCATTGGTTATTTCCAGGCAGTGGGGCGAGATTATGTAAATTAGATGGCTGTGATTGGTCAGGGCAGAGCATTGCAAATTAAGTAGCTTTAATTCACTTGTGTGGGCATGGCAATGCAAATTAGGTGGCTGGGATTGGCCCAGGTGGGGATATGGGAGGGGTTGTGCACAAATGATTGGTTTTCTTGGAAGATTGTCTTGAATATTGTCATTAAATGTTTTTTTTGTTTGTTTTTTTTGTTTTTTTTTTTTCTTTTGTGGGCCTCTTGTCTGAGCAGAGTTTGTTAGTTGGTGTGCACGGATCCGTGCTCAGCCACAGTGGGAGGGTTGCTGCGGAAAGTCCAGTTTTCCTCCAAGTGAGAGGGGGAAACACTGGACTTTCCACAGCAACCCTTCGAGTCCAGCTGAGCTCTGCACCAACTGACAAAGTCCATTCAGACAAGAGGCCCAACGCTTTCCAAAAAAGCCGCAGCAGTCCAGTCACCCTGAAAATACAATCAGGCCAATGAATGACAATTGACACAGTGATGAAACTTGGGACGAAATTAAGAATAAAACGCCACGATTGCAGTTCAAGTTCAATCATTTATTGGACGGAAAACCTGCAATGACACTTGGAGCAATCAGCGTTCGTGTGTCGACTGAACATGGTTGCAGCTTGACGAGCTGGTGCATAATGTCATCAAGTGACGCCTTTGGCTTCGAATCGACATTTTTGAAAGGACGTTGATGTGGACCAAAAATAATCACTTCAAAAGCGTGTGAATATTCTCTGGTTCATCATTTGCTTCTAAGGGCAGCGAACAGACGGCAAGTGTGCTGATGTGCTGTGACCAGGTTGTGCAACAAGACTTGCCTGCTCAACAACCAACTGTTCAAGGCAGACACAACAGTCCACTTGCCAGCCACTCAATGCTCTCAGAATCTTTTAAGTAGGTATATATTGACAAATTAAGGTTACCTGAAAACTTTTAACTTGGTCCACTGTCCACATCCTTCAAAATGTGATTTGTAAACGCACCTCACAATTCTGGACACGTTTTTTTTTCATGTGTATGTGGACAAGATTAATCGTTTCATTATATTACATTATATAGAGCTACTTGAAAAAATAATAATTCTTGTGAAACAAGAATTCTTGTTTTTGTTTTTTATTTTTTGGGGGTGTGCACATCACTGTCTTTTCAAAACATGTCCAGAAGTGTTGGTGCAGAACATTGCGCTTGTGTTGAACTACCAAGAGACGTCAAGCGTACTTGTGCGCTCACGTCCACCTTGGCGACAACACACGTGAGCTCGTCAAGCACCTAACGTTGTGGACTCACTTGTCCAAAAGCAGGGTGACGTCCCATTCGGAAATCCACATCTGTTGGCGGCGTCTTCGGCACCCGAAAGCTCCTTGATGTTCTTCTGCATACAAAAAAACAGAAAAGGTGAGTCACTTTCTTCTCCACTCCAAAAAGGTGGGCATTTTTTTTGATTCAAATTGTAATGTTTGGGAGATTAACGGTGTATATTTGTTGTGATTGGTCATAATATGTGGCACTGCCTCTTTTCAGTACAACTTTGACCCTCTCCTTTTTCTCTTGATGTCCATGGGGAGGTAAGCATTATTCAAGCTGGAAAAAATGTTTACATTTCCAAGTTTAAGTATTTCAATACGTTGCTGTGCCATATAATTTGTGCGAATTGACAGGAGGACTTTGTTTTCTGCTATTTTTGTCAGGCTTTGCGATTGAGACGATTAAACGAAGCCAAAATACAAGAACTCCTGCTGTGCTTCGTCAATATTCCCCTTTTCGCCGTGGTCCTCGTTCGAATAGAAACGTTAATTCCACCAATTGTGAACAAAATTGAAGTACAACTTTTGTCGTAGCTGGGGACTTTTGTGTGACGCGGAGGGCGTACTAAACTAGTAAACATAACACAAATGAAACGAGTCCTTCCAGAAGTTCCATTGGCAAGTGTATCGTTGCCATAAACAAACTCTGGCCATTGTATGCTTTTATATGTTATATTAAGTGCCATGTAAAGACTTTAAAATGTTTAAAATACTCACATTGAAGACCTTCCAAGTGTGATGATTGTCCATGATCCTAAACACCTGCGCCGCAGTGCAGAGATAAGGCGAAATATTAAGAGTGCCTCTCGAGTCGATATTTCCTCACGTTGCGGTCATCTTTTCGTATGAAAAATAATCGTTATCTTAGGGAAGAAAAGTTCTTGGGTGCCTTAATGGGAGGTGGGATGGCTTCGTGGTTAAACTGCGGGAAGTCTCCCTCCCCTTTCCTTCCCACGAGGTCTCTGTTGTGCTGGTGCCGGCTCCTCCTTTTGGGAGGAGGAGGTTGACGTCCTGTTTGGGAAGTACCGTGTGACAGTTCGTTTTTCTTCAACTATTTTTTTCACCTCTAATAAACGTAGGGGGTTATTTGGCGCTGGCTCGCAATAATTTAAAAAATAGAGAAATAATAATACGTATTCGTATTAGGAATTGAGAATTCCGCTTGGAATAGAAACGGATTTACACGGGACAGGAGAAGTGAACCAATCTCTTCTTTTTTCGTCAACGGATGCGACAGCAGTTTACTTTCAAACTTAGTTTGTACCAGACGTGTGCACATTTTGAGCATGACGTCTCTGATCCACTGGTGAAAGGACACTTTGATTCTCTCCTCTTTCATCTCGAACTCCTTCAAACAACAACGTGTAATCAGGAAAAGTGGCTAAGATTGCACGAATGTCCGTCCGTGTTTGATGTTATGTGTTGTGTTATATTATTTTGTTATTTTATATGAACTGTTGATGTTCTGTTTATGTTAAGAAACCTGCCTTGGGGCTACGGCTGGAAACTAGACCGCGCATTTACACCGTTTTTTCATGTGTTGATGAATGTGCACTGTCCCAATGAAATAAATAAATAAAAGAAACCATCATGGCATCATGAATGTCACTTACGTCTAGAAGCCCGCAGAGGGCGCAAGCGAGTCATTCTCATTCATTAATGTTCATGTTTCCATAATATTCCAAAGAAGAAGAAGCCAATGAGGGAGTCTATTTTCTGTTGAGAAATTTGATCTTGATCACGTTGGTCTTTTTTCTTTATTATGCACTGAAGAATACATGTTTATATCTCACTGTTGCTATTTTCAAAGTTCTTTTTCATATAAGAGGGTAATATAATTGAATTTACGACGAGTCAGACATTGCTGACAGTCCTTGTGACAGATTGCAACAAAGAAACGCGTTTCATCACACTGTTACCACGTTCTCTTGTTTGCTCTACATGAAAAACTACAAATATGTCCGTCGACGCTGACGTTAGTCGCGCATATATGACGTATGCGCGGAGGGATCCCAGCTTGTCAGAACCATGGCCAGAGCGCTGAGAGCAGTGAACGCCAGTCGTCCGTTGAACGTTAGTTCGGCCGCAGAGTAGGACGGATACGCTCAAGCCAAGAAGAAGTGTTTGCTGCCAACATTTCCCCCAAGCCAATGTTAACTTTCGGATAGTGCCGTTTGCTAGTCTCTCTTGGGTGTCGGGGGCTAGCTTTCCTTTGACCTGCCTGTGTTCTGCGGTGGAAATCGCAAAAATGTCGTCTCCAAGTCCGGGCAAAAGGCGAATGGACACCGACGTGGTGAAACTGTATCCTTTTTATCAACATAAACAAGCCTCAGTTGCCTCTTGGGCCACTTTTGTCCTTTTGTGTGTAGAGTTAAGATACGAGCTAACGTTCCATTGACGTCTGTCCTGATGTCTTAACACATAGAGCCTCCATTGTCACTGACTGGTGTTTGTGTAAACAACATTTTGTTCTCAAAGCTTGGGCTATTCGTAACCTGTTTCCCATTTAGTTGACGATTCGATTTAACGAGCCAACAACGACCACTTTGTGTCTTTTTGGATCACTAAACTATCGTTAACGTTGGGGTGTATTGTTTAGCTCGCTCGTCTTGTGTTCAGAAATAACTGCAGGAGCTCGAGCAGATGCTAACGTTGCTCAGCCCTTTACAGGAATGTCTTTCGTTAAATGGGGAGGGGGGGGCACTTTGAATGTAGCACGGCTTGAATAAAACACCCGAACTGTTATGGCTTTGCCCTGTCTGCTGTCAAGAGGATTTGTGTCAAATTTCGCCTCCTTTTACACGTTGGCACACCAGCTTGTTTACATAATGCACAGAAGGACGTCAACTGAGAACGCTGCCTGTTTAGTCTTTTGTTCCAGGACTTCTGCTGGCTGTGGTGCGATCATAGCAAAATGTGTTGAGGGGGGGAAAAAATGTGTCGTTTTTCCAAGAGAGCACTCGCGCAGCTGTCACTTGGAACGCTAGCTTAGTAGCTTGTGTGTTAGCCTAGCGAGCTAGCGACAAGTCTTGCTGGTTGGTTTTTTCCAACATCAAAATGGCCACCTGATCTCCCCGAGGCTCACCGTACTGTACTTGTGTGTGTGTAGGGGGGGCGTCCGGCAAACGCAACGTGTGCCTTCTGCCGTTTCGCCGTTTTATTGAAATGCTCGTGGAAAATAAGAGGTGACCCGTGGCAGGCAAGTAAAGGTGCACCGCAGGTGTCGCGGGGCCAACTTTTCACACATCTCGCTTCTTGTGAAGTCGTCGTGTCATTGTTTTTGTTCGTGTTTTTGTCTGTAAACGTGCGCTGACAACAAACTGTTTTGTTTTTTTAACCCAACGACAATATCACTGTCGTCTGTATGCTGTTCTAGAAGCACAGTATTTTTTTTGTTGTTGTTTTTGTCCCAGCACGGTGGAGCCTAATCATTGGGTGGGCTGTTACTAGACAGAAAGAACACGAGGGAGATGCTGAGAACAGCTGATGGGATGGCAGTAAAGCTAAGTCAGATGTGTGCCTTCCCCACTGTGTTGCTCCTAATAAGGGGAAGTTGTCCTGGAACTGTCTGCATTTAATCAATCAAAGGTCATTTTGTCTTATATGTCAATGCACATTTGTTGAACCCTGCTGGCAATGTTCAACCCTGGACAGCATGCCCCCACTTCTCCCTGATTGGGGCTGGGGCAGAGGGGGGGCGGGTGGAACAGGTTTTCACCGCCACCTGCTCACTTCTCTTCACTAGCTTACGCAGGACTCATTTGCTGACCATGACATCTCGTCCTTGCATCACCCCCTTTATTGCCGTAACCAAAACCACAATGTCATAGCGCGCTCTTAATTTGTCACCGGAGTGCTGTGGGGAATATAGAGCGAGGACGGTGAGGGAATACCTGAAAATGAAAGTCGGCAGTGACTTCACTGCGTCGCTCACGGTCGCGTTTTAAGTGCTGAGATTTGTACCAACCGGGGGCCCGTTGATATGGTTGCAACCTGGCTCCGTATGTGCCAGCATTCCAGTCACATGACATCTGGGTACTATTTTAATAAGATGGTCATGGTGTACTCTTGACGCCATCTTCTTTGCGACATTGAAGCTAATTGTTCTCTGTTAGCCACGTATTCTAGCCTTTCGTCCCTTGGCCAAATATTGCTTGTGGAGTTAGCAATTAGCAACAGGATGATGGTTTATCTTTGTTTATTTTTAAAAAAATTTGCTTGACTCCAATCTCCCATCATTACATTCATGGGATTGAGGTCACTCAATATATTTATATTTTTTTGCCTCGCTACTATGTGCGCTTTCTAGCAGCGAGCCGCTGGAATTCGGGCACAGGTTGGCCACAAAAGGACTTAAGCCTATGGTGAATGCGAGCTCTTGTGGCGTCCGGATGGTGGAATTTAGCCGTAGAGAATTGGGGGGGGGGGGGCAGAAATGCTTCTAGTGCGCCTCATACAAAGCTAATATTCCTCCAAATGTGTCGTGGAAGGTTGAGATGACACGCATGAAAGGCGAGATTATTATTATTATTAATTTTTTTGGGGGGGGGTCTGTAAACTGCATTTTTCTGGTTAGCTCCCCGGTGAAATGTCATTACCAGAGAGCGGCTGCATAGACATTGTATTCCACCTTTCAGTCACTCCTGGAAGGTCTCGAAAATGATTGTCGAGCAGTTCTGTGAAGCATGGCGACTCTCAATTTATATTCTGCACGGTGGGGAGTTTGAGGCCCGCGCCTCGGCGCTCCCCGCGGTCCCCCATCGCGCCGCATTTGGGGTCTTTTGTCGGTTATTTTTGTATCCCTACAGGTGATTCCAAACGGGCCTGAGCGCTTCCTTTCTCCTTGACGTTAAGTGTCAATGCAGCGTTTTTGCCCTCAAGCGACTGATATATTCTCAGTCGGGTCGGTTTCAACCCCCCCACTCTCGACCACCTCCGTCCTGAGGCTGAATGCCAATTCGGTGCTTTATCCACTCTTCCACTTGGCCATTCAGCCCCCTCATTGTTGAGCTCCTGAAACACGACATCCGGACAGCATCAGTGGCCCTGAGTCCTTTTGTCGTCGTCGTTGTTGTTGTGTATTTTTTTTTTTATTTTATTTTTTTTGGGCGACCTCGGCCTCCTGCCAGTCCAAGCCACGGGTGCTGAAGCTGCACGAGAGCAAAAGAAGGGGAGGGCACAGGTGTTAATCGACTGACTGACTGACTGACTCATTGAATTAGTGTGAGAAAACGCGTGACAGGAAACCTCAAATTTACTCGTGCGACCTCGATTTTCAGAATCAGAACCGACCGTGAACGCCAGAACCTCGCGACCTGTCAGACTTTTTAAAATTTGAAGCAGGAGGTAGCTGACTGGCTTGTGACGGATGATGTTTCAGCTTGTGTTCTGTTTGAATAACGTTGAGTTGTGACCGTAATTTCCTCCCTTTGCGGCAATCGGCCCCTTTTGACAATCGCGCCATGTTTTTCTGGTTTAATGTGGAGCCACAAAACCATAACATGGGCGGGCGCGTTGGCGCTCAATCGCTTGGTGTGTGGCGGAGAGTCAGCAAATATATTTTTATTTTTTTAACCGTGGGTCACCTCGGTCACATTGGGCTGCTTTTTTTTTTTTTTCGGTGTATGGCGGGTTGTAATCGACAGTTCACTGCCGCTGGTCACGAAGCAAGGCATCTGTAGACGGTTGGAGGTTTGGGGCCCTCCCAGTTAATCTCGCAGAACGATCAATGCCGCAGGTTGAACGCATGGCTGAGTTCCCTTAGCAAAACAGGCGGTCTCAAGTTCCTTTCTTTGTTTTGCTCAAGTTTTTTTTTTTCCCCCCCCCTTTCAGTCGGTCTCTGCCATTCACTCACGAGCAACAGCTCCTTCGGTTCCATTGATTTGAGGGTAAATGAGCCGGCCGCAACGTTAATGTGGAATCCGGGCCCTGTTGCGGCGTGATTGTGAAGTCAATGTTCGTGCATCATGCGTGTCGAACGACCCCCCCCCCCCCCCCATCAACCTTTGTCTTCCTTATCAGCATGTGATCACATCGGCCGTCTCTTTCGAGAATTTCGGCTCGTCAGCACTTTCCTCAACACGTCAGTGTTGAAACTGCAGCTTGTGCGTTAGCCCGTGTCGAACATGGCGTCTGCCCGTGAGCTCATTAGACAGTTCGCCTCAGATCCGAGCGGCAAGTTCTCCCGAGCCGCGACAATTAACCATGCCGTTGTTTTGTTTGTTTTACTTGACAGACCACCCCCTCTTATTTACTTATTTTTTGCCGTAAATAGACTGTCGAGTCAGTGAAAGGCTCGAGAGGAGGAGCGGCGCAGGGAAGTCGCGTTTGTTTGCGGTGGGTGGGCTCTCGTTTCTCTCCCGACGAGACAAAAGACGTGAGCCCGTGCGGCGACGTGCTCCTGCACCTCGCACGCGGGAGGGGGGGGTTAGCCAAGCCTGTTCTAATGGAGACTGAATTTGCATGGCAATGCTGTTAAAATAGATCGGGCTTTCCATGAAGCATAGAGCCGGGAGCAGTTGTTTTGTTCAGAAGTGCACTTGGCGGTGGATTCTTTGCCCTTAAAAAAAGTTTGAAAAAAAAATAAACATAAAAGGCCATTCGGCATCCGGCAAGCGCAGCTTTTCACTGCTGCAAAGCATCAGCGTCGGGCCCTTGGGGCTGCATCACCATTGATATGTAAAAAGCACCGCGAGGTTCTTTTTCATGGACCACACAGGCTGATAGCAAACGGGTTTATTTTGTCGGCGCCGGAATTGAGACGACGGACTGGAAGACGCTAGTTCCATAAATGAATGCTTGAGGGAGATCTGCTGTTCAGGTGCTTGTTGGTAAAGCTAGTTTTTAACATCAAGTTTGTTCTGACTGGCCCCTCTGCCGACTTATCAGCGGCCGCCTGGGTGACGGCCGATAGCCAGTCGAGCTGAGAGCAGATGGAACACGCGGCGGCAGTTGATTAAAAAAAAAAAAGTCTCACTCCCAAGTAGAGGAGTCAGAGACTGAATTGGACTGTAAACATCCGGGGGCAAATTTGTAAAAATCGAGCTACTAATCAGGTGTTTTTTTTTTGGACGTGAGATTAATTCCGGCTCTCGCTGGCGGTGCTCTTCCTGCCGCGGCTTGCCAAGTCGCCGTTCTTCGCCGGTCCGCTGCCGCTTTTCAGAACGGCGAGCGAAGGGCAACCCAGGGCGCCGAGTAATCTGTTTAGCGGGCGTCGCGCGGCGTTCCAAAGATGCGCGGTGCGCATATGCATGGGGGCACGCACACCCCAGCCCCCTCCCGAAGCGGGCGGATGCGTATTGAGTCAATTTTGCCTGGAAGGTGACAGAACCACTCGTGTTTATATTTGCTCTCACGGTGGTTTCAGTTGAACTTAAAAGTGTGAGATCGCACAGCAGCCTTTGATGCTATCTGTTATTGTCATTTCTACTGACTGTCATTTTGTAATTTTTATAATTGTAATTCAATGTGTAATCTTTGTGTCTGTAGTTTGTATACAGCGTGTTATCTTAGTCGCTGCTGTGTCTTTTTTTTTTTTTTTTTTTTTTTTTTTTTGCCGGAAGGGGAAGCTCTTGTACGCCGGCGGACGACTGCAATACTTCCTGCCTTTCATCTGCAAGGCCTTGTACGTCGTCGCCCTTAGCCGCAAAGCGTGGTTGCCTTCCGTCGCCTTTGCGTAAGCTCGGGGGGTTAACTTTTCAGACATTTTGGGTAACCCCCAAAGCCAATATTTGTCCCTGCTAAGAGACATTTTCAGTCGTTGCAAAAAGTTGTGTTGGAGAAATACTCATGAAAGGTGCCCCCCCCCCCCCCCCCCCCCCCCCCCCCACTTGGTTACCACTGCTTTTGTTTGGACTTGCCGTTGAGCTGCGCCTAAAAATAGGACGCTTATTATGCTCTCACACATTCAAACCTTGTCGCGGAACACTTTCAGGAACAGGAATATTTGAAATAGTTTCACTGGAACGCGTTTAATTTATGTGTGCCACAAGGCTTTTATTCGAGCCCACTCTGGTTCTGTAACTCGTCTGGTTTGCTTGTCGTTCCGCTCTTACTCTACAGTGGAAACTCTTCGCATGTTTGACTCACGTTGAAACTTTTGACGCGTCGTCCGCATAGCAAAGCGATGTTGTCATTCGGCTTTCAAGGGAAGACGCCCGTCGCTACCTTTTTGTTGCCGTCGCTCTTCCACCTTTCTCTCCGTTTCAGGCATGTTCGCAGCACGCCGCTCTGTTGGCCGACCCGATTCGACCCCTCGCTTTTGGTCGTTTTGGAGGACGGCAGTCTCTCGGCGTCATCTTTTGATTTCAGCTCAAGTGCGATTTGCATACCGTCGGGCGGCGGCGGCGCACAATAAGCAACGCGCTTACACGCTGCGGTTGAGCTCGCGGCCGTCACGTGACGTGTCCTTCGAGTCGCTCGGGGGACATCAAGCGGTGCTTTTTGTTAGTCACTAACCTTTCATTTGCTTGGGTTTGTTTTTTCCTTGCTGGAGTAGCTTGGTTATGGCTTCTGTTCCATCTCAGCTGGTGGTCAGCGTAATAGCTGCCGCTTTATGAGTGAATTTAATCAGATGTTATTAGATTCCGAGGTCATAAATATTTATCGGGATGTTGTGTGCTCGAAATGTGCTGCGTTGAGACCATGCATGATTCAATTTGGATGTACTTCGTTGTAAAACAAATATAGATGCCGGGAGGTGGTTTTTAGAGAGAAAAAAAAAATGTCATTTGCCTTTTTGACACTGTGCCTGTCTTCCATGTTTGTGTTCCATACTTGGAACGAGGTTGGTCAGAACGGGATATTTTGAAGGGATGAAAATAAGGCACGTCTACGCCACAAGCGTAAACAGCATATTTAAACCCATGAACGTCTTTGAAAAGTCAAACTGTGGTCGGCGAGGGATAAATCTTTAATTGCAGTAGAGAAAGAAGTTTGTTCGTTTTTTTTTTAAGCTAGCGCTCCACATGTTTTTCAGGTCCTTATAGAAAATAAAGTATGTAAATTTAGTGGAGGGATTGATTCCGTTTAGGTCAAGACGCTGTGTGGATGAAAAGATAATGACACCCGGTGCAAGGCACAGATTATGACTTATCTATACTAATCCAAGGTAAGGGAGAGTGCGGGTGTAGCTCAGCATCGAACTTGTGCTCGTAGCTTTCCAAACAACAACGACTGTGCCGTACTTACTTCAAAGCAGCTCTTAGAAAGTCACTCTTTTTTTTTGCTTGCGCTACAAATGACCAAATGCTCCATCCCTGCCGTCTTTATTTGGCTGCTCTGATACAGCTCGAGCCTAATAACTGTTTGCCAAGTCTGACCGGTAGTGTAAACCACACGTCGCAGCCGCGCAGCGTTTCCCCGTGAGGGTCCGTCCGATTAAACCCCCCCCCCCCCCTCCAACTTCGGGGTGACACGCACGAGTGATTTCACAATTGGCAGGACGCTAGCATGCGCGCATGGTCTCCAATCTCTTGACGTCCTTCGAAAATCGCGGCCTGGCGTCTTGGCCCGGGCCGAGCGTCGACACGTTAGCTGGCTCAGGTCAGGGATTCCACTCGCTTTCGCCGGTGCTGAAAATAACCCCTTAGTTTGATTTGACCCTTTGGGAGGGGAGGGAGGGGGGAGGAAGGGGGTCAGTGCTTAAAGCTAATGGGATACGCACTCTACCAGGACTGACAAGCCGGCTGCGACTATGGAGCTCATGGGTCTTTATTGCCTCAGCTTGTCTGCACATTGATGAATTCACTTAAAAAAAAATCTTGATTGCAAATGAAAGTCCTTGACAGCCTATCAGCATCGAAAGCAAACATGAAGTCACCATCCTCAGTGGACTCAATGAGTTTGTAGTGAAGTTTTTCGGACCACAGGGAAGTAAGTCTTGTCTTTTATGCACGTTTTTATTATTTGCTCAATTTATGCAGCCTCGCAAAAACGCTCATAAAAGATAACGTGCCGTTCCCTGACATCTGCTGTGCATCAAAGTCATGAATTCTGCCAATTGGCACACGGGGCGGGTCGCTTTCAGTTGACGCTGTTTTTTCTTCCTGCGACATGGCCACGTACATTGAAGGAAAAAGTCCCCTCGCAACTGATGTCTCCCGCTCTATTTCAGCACCGTACGAGGGCGGCGTGTGGAAGGTGCGAGTGGACCTCCCGGACAAATACCCCTTCAAATCGCCGTCAATAGGTGAAGAGCGTCGCACCCGATGTAACAATTTGATACATTATATATATATTTTTTTGAACTTTTTCAGGATTCATGAACAAGATCTTTCATCCAAACATCGACGAAGCGTAAGTACGCCAACAGCCGCCGATTACCACCGCGATGAATGAAGCCAAAACGTGGCCGACCGCATTGTTTGTCTGGGCCTCATTAATCCAATGCTTAAGAGTGCCAGATCCTCTATTTTGTGATATTAAAAAAAAAAAAATGTAAACCTTTATCATAAAAAAAAAAAACAAACAAACAAAAAAAACATTTTAACCCTTTCAGGGACCGCGTTGTGATTTTTTTTTTTTTGTGCTATTAAAAAAAAAAAAATTAAACCTATATCATTAAAAACAAAAAAAACATTCTAATCGTTTCAGGGACCGCGTTTCGATTTTTTTTTTTTTTTAATGTCCACTGTATGTCAAACAATATGCTTCCTACCAACATGACCTCTGCTCCTCCAACCAGGTCAGGAACGGTGTGTTTAGATGTCATCAACCAGACGTGGACAGCCCTTTACGGTGAGTGCGTCCGTGCGCGCGTGTGTGTTGCTGAATTGCCTTAATCTTCTTACCGAGGGGAGAGGTGAATTCTAATGAGGTAACACCAGCGCCAGGAAAGGTCAGAGCCCCCTTTGTGACGGAGATGATTTAGCGGCGGTCAACTGCGAGGCGCCGGCGGCCGCCGTTCTTGAAATGATTGCGGAAGTTGGGCAGCTGTTGCAGGGCCACGCACACAAAACAAAAAGGCTTTACTGGGGAAGTGCAAGCCCCTCCCCACCCCCCCTTCCCATCATAAAGACCTCAGTGGTGACACCTAGCGGACGAGAGTAGAACCACAGGAGCTTGCAATTGGACGGCCCTCGTATTGTTTCATATTCGTTTTAGCTGTGCTAGCTACCGTCGTTTCACTTGGGACATCAGAAAGCATTTAGCCTCGTCGAGTACAATAGCCGCCACGCAGTTAGCAAGGACAACTGGTAGCGTCCATGTCGCATGCCGTTTGGAAGCATAGCGGAGAATGTCAAACAGGGAACTGAACAGAGAAGCAACAAACAGCCAATTTTCTCAGGGTCCTTCAAAGGGTGAGTAATTTTGCTTGATTACCATCTGCGCTCCACATTGATTAACTCCTCTTGACTGACAGTTTTTGGGATTGAAAATCCAAGTTCAACTTGCCGCGTATTGACCGACTTTTTGTGTCCTCGGCGCCCGGCAGATTTGACAAACATCTTTGAGTCGTTCCTGCCCCAGCTGCTGGCGTACCCCAACCCCATCGATCCTTTGAACGGCGACGCGGCCGCCATGTACCTGCACAGGCCAGAGGAGTACAAGCAGAAAATCAAAGGTTTGCGGAAGAAGACCCAAAACGAAAAACAAAACAAAAAAAAGGTATTTCAATGACGCGTTACCGTGTGTGTGCAGAATACATCCAGAAATATGCAACAGAGGAGGCACTAAAGGAGCAAGAGGAGGGGGCGGGCGACTCCTCGTCCGAAAGCTCCATGTCCGACTTCTCCGAGGACGAGGCCCAGGACATGGAGTTGTAGTGGTGGACGTCCTACTCCTCCCGCAGCAACCCTTATCCGCCCCCCCCAGACCCCCAACCCTTATGCCCCGCCCCCAACAGAGACTATATTTGATTTCCTAACCCATGACAAAGCAGACTTATAATATTCATATTTAAACACCTTGATTTTTTTATTATTATTATTATTACTAAACAAGGATTTTTATGAATATCTAGCTTCCTCCTCTCCCCTCTTGGCATCTCTTCCTCATACCCCCCCCCTTTTTTTTTTCTTCTTGTGTGTGTCAAAGGGGTTGTGGCGCCCAACGCAAAGACAGTATTTGAAGAGACGCACAATCACGCACAGGGTATGTCGCGACGCTCACGGACAGATGCGATCTCGGTTTTGGACGCTGGTTCGGCAGTGACTTTTTTGGGGGTGGGGGTCACCAGAACAAATGACATCACTCAACGTGACATCACTGCTCTGAGCACGCTTTGGATTCATGGGGGTCCCATTTTCCACGTTTTAATCCCCCGCGCCCCCCTCCACGCCCAGTTTTTCTCCCAACGCGGGAATTGCGTGTCTACAGTACCAAACACGGCAGTACAAGTACTCGGAGAGGACTTCGCAATGTATTCCCCTCCGAGAATGCAGTAGTATGGATCCCAGCTCAAATCCCCTCCTCTGTGCCTCATCGACAGCAACAAAGGAAGCCGATCAAGAAAAAAAAAAAGCACATTTGGGACTCCTCTTCCTCTTTGGACAATCTACATTTAGATGGACGCTAACACATAGCTAGTTCTGGGTTGCAAGTTCTCCAAATAGATAGCATTCATATGGCTTAAGTCAAGATTTTTTGTTGTTGTTGTTTTTTTTTTTTTTAAGTTAGATGGCGTCTGTCGTGTGATGATGTATAAGATGCTTCATTTGTGCAGATGTTTCCTAGCGTAGTCCATCCGAAACAAGAGGCACATGGAAAGGCTGGCACCACGTCCTTGGTTTGTGTTGCATCGGCGGTACATTTAAAGAGGTTCAGTGTAGCAAGATGCAGGCTTTTTTTAAAATTTTCATTTGATTTGATTTTGGATCGGCGCCCTCTCAGGATAACCCAAAAAGGTCGTGTGCAGATTCTGATCTTATTTCTCTGGAAGCTGCCAACAAATGTTCCTACCCCCCCCCCTTTCTTTTTTTTCCTTTCATTCTTAATCCTAACCACCAAACAGCAATGTTACGAACTTCATAAATAGGAAAGCCCCGCACCACTGAAAGAGAATTTTTTGTTTTAAAAGTAATCCAGATTGGAATTCTTGCTATTACCTTTGTGCGGTATTGTGCTGGACCTCTGTAATCCCACTTAGATTGTTGAATGGGAGAAAAATAAAGTGCCACCCCACGCCCCCCAAAAAATTTTTTGTAACCTCTTGGCAAAAAAAACTAAACAGCTCTCTTTATGTTGAAGTCCTCGTTTTGTTTTTACAGAAGCATTGTGCACCTGCTGGCTAATAAAGTGATCATATACTCAGCCTGCTGTTGGTGTGTGGGGGAAAAAAAAAGTCAGTTAACTGCCTTTGCGTTAAAAATGCAAAGAATTGATTCAGCTAAGTCTTCATTTTCAAACTAAATTAGCTTTTTCAGACTTAACCCAATGTCCCAAGTGACCCTCGTTGAAAAGTGCACCTCGAAACATCAACATGACAAGGAGTTGACTTGTGTTGCGTTCAGGGAGCCTCGGTTGTATTTTCAGCACAGTGTATACTCCCCATCCGTGTCTACCTACTGTGCACTTGCATGCACACCTCCCATTCCTGTGCCACAAGTTCTGGACATGTCGAAGCCCACACATTACACACAGCATGCACTCTTTGCTACCTAGTGTGTTTTATTTTTATTTACCCCAAAATTGCATCCTTGGTCTTATTCACAGCACCCCCCCCCCACACCCCCATTTGCCCTCCCTTTGTGCCCCTCTTTTTATATTTTCATTTTCTTTTCCTTTTTTGACATTGTGAAGTGGGCATGCTTGTCAAAAAAAAAAACATAAGGACAAATGCTCTCCATGAATAGGCTTATAACCTCATGAATAGTGGTGTAAAAAATATACTGTTATAACTTCTCTCTTTTTTAATAAAACATTCAATGTGTACAAAACGACTGACTTATTTGGAGTATTTGTATTTTATTTTGCACACTCCAATGAAAATATCTGATTTTGTTTATTTCAAAACTCGACTGTAAACAGGTTAGTAAGAGGCACTTACGTATTTTATTTTCACACCAGTGTACAGTAATAGGTTCTCCTTTGGGAAAGTGCTCAAGTACCAGGGTTGGCCGCAAGGTGTCAGCATCGTTCTAAACAACCATCTTCGTGGGGCCTTGATAACCTCCATCCCTTAGCACGCTATGATGCTGAACAATAAAATTAGCTAATATATTTTATTATAATTATATTTCATTGCTATTTTCAGGCATGTGATGATTTTTATGTCAGTCGTGGTATTTTATTGTACGTGCTTTTATTTTGAACTTTTCCTTTATCGCCAGAGGGTGGCGCCTGGTGTCTCATGCACTTGAACATGGATGGCTGTGCCTAATGACCAGTGGTTTGAGGGGAGGGAGAGAAATGTGGTGACATAAGGCACTTTAATCCCTTCTAGGCTATTAAAAAAAATTCTGTCACGCATCAATCTGCCCCATTTCTGGGCGGCTATACAACCTACTACTGCTGCTACCCTTTGACGTCTTTTTCCTCTGCTCGTTATTTTTATCGAATCAGGTTGTCATGAATTTAGTTGCACTGTGCAATAAGCATAGAAAGATACAATATGTCCGAATAATGTTATAGTACTCTTTAACGGTCCTTGTCATATTTCTAACGTTTGAGCTTTTTTTTTTTTCTTCTAAGTGGCTGGAAGATGATCGATTGGTTAGCACGTCCGCCTCACAGTGCAGAAGTGGAGGTTTCGAGTCCGGCCTTCCTGTGTGGAGTTTGCATGTTCTTCCCGTGCCTGCGTGGGTTTCCTCCGGGTACTACGCCCACCTCCCCCATTCCAAAAACATGCATGCTAAGCTAATGGAACACAGTAAATTGATCCTAGGGGTGATTGTGAGCGCTAATGGTGGTCTGCCTATCTGTGCCCTGCGTTTGGCTGGTAACCAGTCCAGTAAACTGTCAGGTATCCATATCATAGCCCTGAGGAACATCAGTCAGACTCTTTCAAAGTGCTTCGCTCTCACACGGACATACTTTTTGTTTGCTCAGTAATAATTCTTTTTCTGTTTTTCTGCAGAAATGCCCGCCTCAATCATCCCTCGGCATCGAGAGGATGAGGATGGAGGAGCGTTGACCTCCAGAGGTGCAGCAACCCGACACGCTCAATGAAATATTTAAAGCTGCCCGTTTTCGCCGCAGTGCAGGACAAAGCGGTGACGTAATGCCAAAAAGCCTCCCTCCGGCCCGTCCCATTGGTCCTCCTCAAGATGGTGGTGGTCATGTGACCCATTTTGCCCCTGATACTACCGCTGCAATGGCGGCGGCCTTTTAAGGTATGAGCCCTGCCCTCAGACGCCACAACAACAACAGCAGGTTGGAATCAATCAGAAGCTTTTCAAGGGATCATTTGTGCACAGTTAGGATAAGAGGGTCAAATTTGAAGCGGGCTTTGTTTGGTTGAATGAGTCATTTTGAAGAGCTCTGAGTCACTTCAGTGGCTTGACAGAAGCTCAGTTTTCTGGTTGAATCAAAGATACACTTTACAAAGAGACACAGTCAACTTGAGATAATTACTGTTATTTTTATAATGAATATCATTAAAAATGTTTCACGAATATACTTTGTTGTGTATTGGAAAATAGAATATATATGTATATATATATGAATACACACACACATATATATGGATATATATTTACAGTACCAGTCATGAGTTTGGAAACACCCTCTAATCCAGTGTGTATTTTTTTTATCATTATCTAAACATTTCCTGAACCACCCCAAAGACAAAAAAAAAAATCTAAATAGAATATGTTTTATAACGTAGAGTCTTCAAAGTAGGCGCCTTCTTTTCTCAGTTAGCTTTATGATGTGGATGATGCGTTATGACTTGGAATGAGTTTCAGTACACATCTGTGCAAGAGTTAATTGCTTGACCTCTTCAATGTGTTGAGTCCGTTTGAATTTGAAGGCGTATCCAAAATTTTGACTGGTATTCTGTGTATGTATGTGTGTGTGCACATGCACGTTCGCGTGTGTGATATACATGTACTGTATATGAAAAGTAAACATTCTAGTTGCAAGTTTTACTTTCCAGGTTCAGTACATTTATTAACCACAGTTCAGTTATATTTAACTTAAAAGAGCAGGACACTACATCTTAATGTAATCTTTTCCTGTTTGTTCAATTTATTTAATTATTATTTTTATTTTGGGTGAAACTCATTTCAAATGTTTTTTTTTCTTCTCGCATTTGATAGCATAGCATCATTATTTCATGCCGGGTCTTGTGTCTCATCATCTGATCCTCACCTGTTCCACACATTAGCATGTTAAATATTCATCCACCACCAACAGGTGATCCGAGGCTCGGGTGTCTCACTCCCTGTATGCAGGTGGGCTGGATGTCAGCGTTGCTATTCAGCCACGCCAGTAACCCAAACCGCGCTTCCATCACCTTTTGAATATTACATTAACTCCTGATGCCTTCCACTGTGCAGGTATCTGACTAATTAAGAGCAGCAGGTATGTTGAGGAGGAGGAGGAGGAGGAGAAGGAGGAGGAGGAGCGCTTGCTTCCATATATGAGGCATCCTCACTGCATCAGAGTCATTCCGCCGGAGGAGAGGCAAGCAGAGGAGGCCGCAAACCAACCAGGTTGTATACCTTCCTTCATCTCTCTCCATTTTTATGCTGCCCTTGGCCATCTGGACGTCATTCGATCCAGCAGCATCTTAGGCCCGAGAAGCCTCAGCAGCATCTAAGCCTGACACGAGGGAGGAGGGGCACCATGGCGGAGTGTGTGGTGGTAAATGTGCTGCTGTCTGCTTAATTGTTTGTTTAATCATCGAGAGAGTAAGGAGGAGGAAATGCTTATTATTGCGGCAGTGCATTACATTTTTGAAAATATTTTTGGTTAGATGTTGCATGGAGGCCCGATGTGATACTAAAAGGGCCTGCAGGCCTCTAAGGCCTCTGTTTAATCATCCTTGAGCTCCATCATGGTTTGGTTATTGAACTACATGAGATTTTTGAAAATAAATATAATTTCCAAATGTACAGTCAATCAAGTGTGATAAAAAAAATAGACAACAGCAACACAACAAAAAAATTACATACTTATTACTGGTGAGTTAGAACAGGCCTACAGTATCCTAAATCAGGGGGTCAACATATTACTGATCCCTGATCTACAATGTTTCATGTGTTCATATTTTTTCTCCAGGAAGCAACAATTTTAAACAGTAGAAAAATAATGTATTGGTGTTTTAGATTAAATAAAATAGAGATACAGTTACATAAGTAGACAGTGGTTATTAATAAAAACATGACCGGAATAATACATTTTAAATTCATAAAATTGTTGACACAGCTCCTGTGTTGCATATCATTAGCAGTTGTCCCTAATAAAGTGGCCTTTAAATGAGTAACTGGTCCGCTCAAAAATGCAAATGACACAAATGTACATATCAAAAAAAAAAAAAAAAAAAAAAAAGGAAAGGAAGAAGAAGAAAGAAATAAGAAAGCGATGAGGTGACGTAAATTTGTTCTTGATGTGTTTGGGACAAACCAAACAAATAAATAAAAGGGGTGTTCTCAATTATAAAATGCCACGAAATCGTTTAATCCTAAAATGGGGCGGGAGGGGCTAAAATGTGTCGCACACGTTACACTAAGCAAATATTCAACACTTCGTACGGGGCCGGTGCTTGGAAGGGGGACATTTTTAAAAGCCACCTGCGGAAGTGGTGAGCTTGTTTTTGCGCATGCGCATTTGAAAAAAAGGTGCACGCCAGGTAGAGGGGAGGGAGGAGGAAGAGGCGGAGGGAGCAAGGGGGGAGAGAGAGAGGAGTTGGAGTGAGGCTCCAATTGACATTTGATACTCAGGAAGTTGACGCTGCTCGGATTCCTCTTTTGTCTCATTGGAATTGTGCGCTGCCGCTCGTGAGCACGCACAGCAGGCACTCATACTTTTTTTCTTCTCATTTTTTTTTAACGGAAAGCATATTAATTGCAGATTAAATGCACTCGAGTTGGCTGACCCCCCGATGACGCACCACGATATGGAACCGCAATAAGGTATGAAGGAAATTTCGTATTCATCATAATTTCACTGCCGCTGTCTCTTAATCTTTTTTTCTTCTTCTATAAAACAGACCGAAAGGGTAATACGATGAAAAAAACACGGCATTGACTTTCTTGAAATACAAATTGTAAATTGGAATCAATTGTAAAAATGTTGACCAAAAATGCTATAATTTTAATGAAGTAGTTCTAAATTTATTTGTGGCTGTTTTTTTTATTATTTTCCAGCTGTCTTTCTGTCTTTAACCGATTTGAAATTCACGTTTGAATTGCGCTGCACCTGTTTTTACACCTGCCCCGGAGCACCGCTATTAACGCAAATGCCGTTTATACAGTTACACGATATAATTATAAATAAAAATCATTCAGTTAACGACATCGTTGTCGTGACGCGGATGGTCAGCGAGAAAACAATTTCCCCCCCCCCCCCACCCCGTTTTTTTTCTTTTTTTCAAGTTTCGACTTCAAGGCAAGGTTGCATGACACGAACTATAAATCCTCCGGAAACAAGCGTCGAAGTTGCGGGTCACAAATGCGATTAAGCGAAGATGGGGCTTTGGAGCAGCTCCTATTAACGATGGCACGAAAAATAACAATAATAACACTCAAAATATAAGTGAGAAAAGAATTGGTGAGTGATAGCATTATTTTTACATGTTCCGTTCGATCGAGGTTGAAAGAAAAATATTTAAAAATAGATATTGCAGTAACTACAGGAAGCCCAAGAATACTTTGGATGACGTCATGACAATAAGACATAATTTAATAATTCAAAGTGATGACTTGACTATAAATTTGTTTTCGTAATTCACAGGCCACCCCAAATAAACCTAATGTCATTGT